TATATATATATATATATATATATATATATATATATATATCATCTACGACCTTAGAAGCTTCTGATATTAAACGTGAACTATTGTTTTTACAACACCTGCTGGAGACCCCTGATTAAGGCCTTCGGGCCTAACGGGAAACCCAGATTGATGAAATTCGGATATGTGCAGGCCACTACACTTACTGGCTGTAACGCATATACTCCTTCTATCCACATTGTTGACGGCATTCATATCTGGAGCTCGCGCAGTACACCTTTACAAAACTAATGCTAGATGTAAGTCCCCTATTGATACCTTAACATACATATTCAGATGGCAATTTACCACAGGTAGGGTTGAACAATGGCATTATTGTCTCAAACTCACCCTCGAAGTCTGTGGCATTTATCGCAAAGGCATGTTCCAAACTCAATGGGTATGGCACCGATGAGTTCGGGACCGGTTATCTTGACAATGACGGTGATGTTAGCATCGCTCCAGGCTGTGGACTGGGCCACACAGCACCATCATCGGTCTCCCACTCAGGTTCAAAGCGTAATTTTACACTCTACTTGAGTATCAAGAAGCTAAGGAAGATGAAACGCCGAAAAATCAACAGGATGAATAAAGATCTGGAACTTTTCAGAAGAGTGAAGGAAAGAAGATTGCGAAACCCAAACAGATTAATCGACATACGAAAGGTTAACTTTATAAATGATAAGTGCAACCCTAGGCTTATGAGGTTACCGGTATCGCCATTAGTGGACCTCAACGGTCTTGTCCCTTTCAAGACGGTACCAGAGATGACTTCACAAATACCATTCAATCCTGCACCTGTACTGCATTCTATAGGGTATAAGTTTAAACCAAGAGAAAAGGGCAAATATGAACGATTTTGTGAGCCATATCCTATGGACGAGATATTGCAGGTTATCGATGCACGCAGTCTAGGTGCAATTAGCAGGATGTCGGGAACATATAAAATTACTGGTGACGGAACACGCATACCGACACCAATGGACAGTAAACCTGTACCACCAGGTGCTAGTGTCGGTAAGGGCTACGGGTTCGGTCTTACAAAGAAACCTGAACCCAAAAGGAAACCTATGCCCCTCTCGAATTTTGATGCATTTGCTCCAGATCCAGACTCACTAGTAGATAGCCTTGAAGAATTGGAAACAATTAAAAAACAGGCATCATCATATGTAGACCGTATGGCCGAGCCAACGGTGGTTAAAGGAAATCGCGATGGCAAGGCTACAGAAAGTGTAGGAGCATGTGAGACCGAAATTGCCGAAATGGCAAAACAAGCTTCAAAAGGAAGAGAATATGAGTCGGTTCCAGCCGATAGCCTGAATGTTCCGTTCTTGGATGACGCTTGTAACGAGGGAGATATAATGCGAAACCCAAGGTACCTAGGTGAATACCGTCATAAATATTGGTACCATCCTTTCTATGGTAATCCGACTATGCCGGGAGAAGAAAGGAAATTGGTGGAGGAGTACAACCGAGCTAATCCCGATAAACCACTGGTCTACGAGGAATACAAGGTTGACCTTATATATTGCCACTCTAATGGCACTATCGTCTATTTAGGTGAAAACAAAGAGCCATATACCAATGAAGCTGAAGATTTCGTACTCGAGGGTGAAGATCCTCGTGAGCCACGTTTCGTCATACAGGCGTGCGCAGGGTTCATCAAGGAGCAAGGACTGCAGTTGGGACAAACCCTACCATGTGTCAATAGAGAAATGAGAGAGCGCTATTTCGACAATATATTCTTCATACCGAAGAGTGTACGCAGCCAATATACCGTTCACCTACCAGATGGTACACTTGTACAGTAGATTCGTTAGCGTTTACACATGGAAATGTCGATCACCATTTGGCACCCAGGGCATCGTGTCCTACCAATAACACGGTGTAACTAACTATATGACCACCATAATATCTATTTATGAAATACATAAGGAAAACGATCCCACTCTAGTCATTAAAATATGTCTGACACTTTGGCGTTGTATAGAGTAGCAGTATTACTCACGCTATGCTATAACCGGCAATCGCATTTTCGCGATAATGCTAATATATCTCGACTATTCGATGTATAGTGTACCTTCGAGGTGCATACCAGAGTAGCGCTCTAACCCTTCACCACAGTAACTCACAGAGGGCGATATCTCGAAGAAGCCATCACCTAAGATGGCACCTGCTGACTCCAGCCACTGTCTTGCCACATTGTTCATTCGATGCTGGACCGAAAGAAGGTTGGACATGTCACAGTCCGCACGGTACTTTACAGGTGCGAACTGCATGTCACGGTTTACCTCTACGCATAGCAACCTTGAAGCAAACTGGAACACATCGAAGATGAAGAGCTCTAGCGAATATCCGTTAGATTCAGCGGGTTGACCCGTCGCGTTGCTACTCATGAGAGCCTTTTTGGCTGCATGGTATGGTAGCAACTCGAAAAGACGTTCATCGATTATACGCCGGAGAAACTCGCCAGAAAATAGATGGTCGCACATGTTACCATATACTGTGGACGATCCGTTGAGAAATGATGCATCTGGCAACTTCTCCAATTCGCTATACTCTACGACACATGGCACTTTGCCCAAGCAGAAGACACCAACGTTTTCCCCCCTTCGGCGCACTACACATTTGTTCAACACCTCTATACCGGGAAACCTCAAAGCCAATCCCAGAAGTTCGGGGTCCAGTGGTCGAGACAATGCGTTGTCTATAGCTATAACATGCAACATGCGCATACATTTCAAATGATCCATGAACTCTGAGCATCGGGACAGCGCATTGAACACATCTCCGTTACCCTTGGGTGCCTCGGCCACAGTGCTGCCATCTAAGGACGTAGGAAAAAAATCATGCCCGTTAAATTGTAGATACGGCGCAGTATCCTGCATAAATAATACTACCTGGCCTTCATGAAGGTCGCAATAGTTTAAGGACTTGAGATAACTAGCAATGGCATCATGGTTAAACCTGGAGGTCATGATGAACACTGGTAGATTTGGGGTTCCCGGTTTCATCAACGCCTCCAGGCGCCTCACCCGTTCTAAATGAAGTTGTATGAGAGTCTTGCCTTGAACTGGTGATATTGGTAGCGCCGCCTTTGGTAACTTAGCACCCAGACGCGTTGCGAGTCCCCCGGAAAGGATCAACAGGGCGTAACCGCCATTACACAGCTCTCGGATACCATGATCAAAGAGCGTACGCGTCTCCGCAACCGACGGTTCACGGATTACTCGACCGAAGGGTCCTTCTTCGGGAATATCCGAAAGGCACACCGACGGCAGTAGCGTAAGGTCGCGCTCTAGCCGTGGAGAAAGCGCATCACGTAGTATTGCACGATAGTCAGGCATCTAAAATTATCAAATATCAAGGTACACGGTACTGTGGCCATAACGTGGGATTAGAAGCGATGGACCTATGATGTAATGTGTTTCAACTTGATGTGTAGACTTACCCTTCGACCATTCATCAAATTCCGGTCTGTAGAAGAAGGTAGCATCCGAAACTTGCGAATTCTGACCCCCGGAAAGTAATAAAGAGTCACCACAAAACGTTAGCGATGTATCCATCAACTCAAGGGGTGCCTCCATCAGGTAACGACTTGACTGACTGCTAGAATGCCAAGTTTCCAATGAATTGTGGATAGTATGCTCATTGTCGATACCTCCTATGAGGTATATTTCATTGTTGTAACTGCAAGCAGCACCGGCGCTGCGAACCTTCAGAAGGGCGCCGGACAAAAGTTCCCACTTGTTCATACGAGGGTCGTAGCGCTCCACGCTTTGGAGACGCTCTCCACAAGTACCGCCCATCGCATATAGCATATCATTTTGCTGAGCGATCATTGGTGATGAACGTGGTGTGTTCAATGGTGCCACATGGATCCAGTTGCGCATACGGGCATCGTATGACTCCACGGAGTCTAATACAGATGTGCCATCAAAACCACCTACACAAAACAAACGGTCTCCTAGTGTACAACCGCCATTATTACGTCGAGCTTGCTTAAGAGATGCTGTAGAATGCCATGTGTCACGCAATCGGTCATACATCTCGGTGTCACATAGTGCTTTGTAGTCCAGATTGTGACCACCGAACACGTACACAAAGTTGTTTAGAACACCAGCACCAAAGTACATCCTAGGGGTCTGCATAGGCGAACAATTACGCCAGCACATGTTCTCCCTGTCCAAAATTTCCACCGCAGCCATAGGCGAGTGACTGTCGTGACCACCCAAGCAGATAGCCAAAGGGTACGGGCTGAACTTGATTTTGTAATAAGCAGCTTCATTTAACAAAAGAATACTCTCTGCTAGATCACGTGGTGATGGCAGGCATTCTGGATTACGCATAAAGTTTAGGATTACCCTAAACAGTTCATAATCACGGTCCAGGAATATACGACCCTGACGATCACGACCCACCTCATGACGCCCGCTCACAAGATTCGCCAAGAATGATGTGGGCTGACGTGCAAGAGTATGTCGTGATGTTTCGAACACCACACCTCCAACATTGATGTCAACCATGGTTTGCGTTGCGATCTTATTATCTAGTACTTTACGCTGGTCCTGTTCGAACAGTTCTACACGTTGTCGCAGTTTTGCTGATTCCAATTGCATATAATTCTCGAAAACATCCTTTTCATGATCGAGTTTCTGACGTTCTTCTTCGATACGACGTCGCGCTTCGTTACGCTCAAACTGTACATGCTTCAGCTGTGAGGCGATCTCTTGACCGTGACGACGACGTTCCTCCTATAAGAGTTTAATCATTAAAATTATCACTTACAGCAAGCTTTTCTGCTTCCATAGCACGTTCCTGTCGCATACGCTCGGCGAACGCCTTGCGCTCCGCTTGAAGCTCCTCGGCGGTACGTGTTAACTCTTCTCTACGTGACTTAAGGGCAAGTTGTGCTTTGTTCAGCCAGCAAACGAAAGTGCTTCGCATGTCATTTACCATTACCTCGAAATCTTCAACACCGCTTAGAGCGTCATTTCTTTCTGGTAATATGCGGAGCTGGCCGATGTCCTTTGACAATGAGTAATCACCATCATCTATCCTTGGTACTTCGGTACCAATTGCGGCTAAAGAGCAACTATCGCCAACATCTACACTATTGGACGTTTTGTGTGTATCTATGGACTTTTCAGGCCATCTTTTTACGGATACAAGTGAATGATTGTCTAATTCAGAAGGAGCTACCGTAGATTCACTTAAGGGCCATTTGGCCCTCAAATTCCCTTCTGATAGGGGATCCATGTTCTTACAGTGTGGCTAGAAACTACGCAGACGGTCGTGGACCGATGCCAGGTGGTCAAGTACAGCAGATGCCAGCGCATCGTGCGTAACGATAGTAGTCAGACAACCTACATCCGATAGACGAGACAGTTCATTAAAAACCACTGTACGATTATAATATGGAGTTTTATTTGGGTAACCATACCATTAAAGAACGGAATAGGCGCTAAAAACGGGACAGTTTATACTAAGCACTTTACGTACACATCGCTAGCACCGTACGCCTAGCTTATTAAAGCTTATCTACTGTAAAGTGGAGATCGTAACCTAGATATTCATACAATGTTGTCAAATGTAACCTTTTGGCAGGTATTACTAAGCCAAGGATACCACACACTTTACAACACTATCCAACTGCGGCACTCACAAACACGATAAATTAGCCTAACAAGGGCCTCCATACAACCCAGGAAACGTCATATGCAGCCATCAGATAGTATATATGATGAGAAAATTATACGATGTTAATCGCTTTTTCAAAGCGCAGATGCACGCAATACTGATATCATCAGTGTGAAATACAGCTGTGCAGTTTCCATACTAGGCAGACGCACAACTTCAGCCGCCATTCTTGTACGAATTGTTCCGCCGGCGGAACGGTGTCCTGTTGCAGATTCAACACTGTATGAGCGAGCAGTGTCGTTTTCATTTGATACCGTTGTTTGTGTACGGCTGCTGCTACTGTTAGAAGAGACCGATGGCGATTTGACGAACGCACTGTCGACCATATCTCCATCAGCAGTCCGTTCGTACTTATCGATAGTTATCCCTGCCAGCGATGTTTGGTAGTAACGTTGTACCGGTGTCCCGGGTTCATCGTAACTTCGGCCACCCTCTTCACGAATACTCTTGGTAGACTCCTGCTGTTGGAAAGCGCCATATAACCTTAACAAGCTACCCTCTTTACATGGGAACGTTTTTTCGTCCTTTAGACGTGATAGCAAAGAAGGGGGGATGGCAGCAGGTCCACCCCGTAGCTGTGGTGACGATTCTGATGTCACATGCACGAGACGCAAATAGAATGTGTCATTAGAGAAGTATTTCCGAACCGCTTTAATAGACGTTTCGAAAGGAATAGAATCATCATAACGCATAATATCCGAGCTCTGGTAACTCATAGCAGGTACCCTTATGATCTCGATGCTACGAATACATTTGCTTTCACAACTCCATAATAGCTTACGGCGATGTATTAAACCAACATGTGTTCGATTGACCCATAAATATGTTTGCAAATCCGACGAGGGTGTACATACAGCGATGGGCGATATCATCGCCATATGTGGAGATAAAGCTGACCAATGAGACATTGCTGCGTGCATGGGATCAAACATCTTCAATTTACCATCCAGTGGAAGTAGCACTAGCAATTCGTTTAACCCCGCAATACGTCTAGAAGCACACATTGACCATGATTCAAGGAAGTTGTAACGCATCGGGCCTGAACTATTCAACAAGTTCACAGAACGTTGAGGGCGTATGGCAGAGAGCATAGGTACAGAGTGGATCTGATGCAACAACCCCTGTGAAAGAACTGATATCCCACTTAGTAAACTTGATACTGTACCGAATGATAAGCTAGCGAGAGAAGAAACCATCGAACCAACAATGTGCAAACCAGATAGTAATACTTCACCATTCACACCACGAGCTGTCTTCACCGAACCTAAGAATCGAAGTAACTGGTGTATCGGTTTCAATGCAAAGTTACCAACACTCACATAAAGGTTGCGGCCGATAGATTGACCACCAAAAACAATACCATCCATCACATTGCTAGGTTGATCCACTGTTTTCCCAAAAGTATCCTGCATCAGTAATACAGCATAACGGTCAGAGTTCAATGCCAAAGTATTGAAGAGGAGGTACCAACTTCCTGTAAAACGGTACAACGCGTCGGCAATACCGGAAATTGCAGAAACACCAACACGTGATACTGACCTGAACCACAGGAAAATCGCAACCGGCGGTATGTGGAGATATTGCAAGGATTCTCGCATAATAGACGCTGCTTGACATACACCGTTTATCCAATGATGTAACACGATCTTGGGGTTACCAATAAGGTCAACTGCACCCAGCACCTTGTATATCTGTTGGACACTCTGCGTGACATAACGTATAACGAAGTGTGACAACAATGCGTAAGGGGTACAACATAGCTCCAATAGCGATTCTTGTGCCAATATAATGTTGGCATCACTGATATGAGGTGTGCGCCGTACGATATGCATCAAGTGACGAATCAATACATTCTGTGCCTGTAGGTCAGATGAGAATCGTGAGCCCGAGCGTCGGATATTTATAGCCAAAGCAATACGACCCACATGCAGGTTTGAAATGTTGTAACGAGTACCACCACTCAAGCTCTTGTTGAATTGGCTTTGCGCAACTTCTTCCAATGGATACTGTGCAACATCGAAGCTGCGTAACCACGAATCCACATTAGAGAAGATACCAACGTTAGCCGTAGTGAAGTAATCTGCAGTCGCATTGGAGAAGCCGAAAATTGATATAAACTCGTCTACTAACATCAGAAGCGATTGACCTATACGAGTATCCAAATTCAGACTTAATGGTTCCAGCTCGATACGGCAATTAGTGATCTCACGTACGCTAAAGTTCTCATTACCACGGGTATTGAATGTTATAGATATCACTCGACGTTCAGATTGTGGACCCTCCACACCAACGTCATGTCCAACACCCTGTAGAGCCCTATTATGAACACGACGTCTCAAATCATAGGTATGAGTTGAAGACTGCCAACTTGCCAAAGGACGTAACATTGTGGCATAACAGGTAGTTGAATCGTGTACATCAGATTGTATCCACCCTACCGAGAGGGAAAAGAGGTGTTCATCATTATCCAAGCACAGACGGAATTTGACCAATGTGCTAGAAATATATACCAATTCTTCCGTTATATCACCACATATAGCAGTACCCAGACCCAAGAAGTTAACTTGGAAGACATAATCCCAATTAAAAAGATTACCAAAACGAGAACGTGATACGCGTGACTTAGACCCTGGCCTCGGGAGGGTCTCAAATGACTTCTGCTCCTCCCTTCCTATAACGTTGCGCAAGCACCTCAGCACGTTGAAGTAACGTAAAGACATAAATGGTGACCCACTTTTAGCACATAGAGTTGATGGTATAAGTCGACGAACTCCAGCAGCTATATGCCTAATCCTGCGGTGTGTCATCAGTCGGTTGTAACTCATATCATGAGGTACAGTTAATTTGTCTCTCAAAGCCGAATATATGTGCAACAACTGCATAGGATGGATACGGTTGAAACGAAGGAACCCTCGGGTTGGTATTAGTACTGCAGTGAAGTGTAATGTCTTCTGGCCAAATGCTACGCACGTCTGTGCTGTTAAACGCATAGAGATCACTGTGCTTCCATAACGCAATTGAATGACAGAACTGCAACGCATGGATTCCACACGACTTAGGTTTACTCTCAATGAACCTTTAACACGTACAACACGACCGGCATGACGATGTAGTACATGTTTTAATGGGAAAGCACTCAAAAGTCCGTCAGAGAAATCGTTGCGTACGTTTCCAATAAACGATTCGTTCTTTCTACGACCACCCTTGCTTAACTGGTTGATAAGTAACTTGAATGCCCTTGGCCCTAGGTGGAAGCGACATATCAATTTTTGTTCTTTACCAGGATCATAGCAAGCAAAAGGTACACCCATGCCTGCATACCGTTCAGATAGTACTCCACTGGAGGCTCCAACTGTAGGTACGACTTCACCGTAACCTGGTACACCCTGTTGTTCTACCCAAAGATCGATACCCGTAGTGTTCAAAACCATCCAATCCGCCACCGAAGGCTTCATGAAACGTACAACCTTAGCTCCACGATGCATACGTATCTCAACTTCACATAAACCGTATTTAAGCGTACGGGATAGAGATAGTTGCGTTGGTTGGGGTTTTGAGGTCGTTGTGTGGGCCGAGTTTGCCTGCGTATTAATTGAAGCTGGGTAACGGAACTGTATCAGGTTAGATGGCTTCAAAACAACTCCAGAAGACCAAATTTGGAATGTAGGTGGCATTTCAGAATATTGTTTAGGGACCTCGAGACCACTGAAACTACCAGGGTCGATACCAGTAACCTCAACCACCAACTCCCCTTTAGCCTGTGAGTGCAGCTCAACTGTAGACCCCGGTTCAACAATATACCATCCAGCACCATATTTCGATGAATCTCCACTCCCGGTAGCATAACCGTCCGGTTCACGTAACCATAATGGGTGAGTGAAGTCGTTCGTTACTGTAGTTTGCGGGAGGATCTCTAGGATACTTGTTCTGAAAAACGGCGCGGGTGCCATTGAAGTAGATATCAGATAGTGCAGTTTAGGACATTCCACAGTATCCGAGAAGTCACATGTCGAGAACGCAAGGTCAGGCATCGAGAAGGTGCTAGACATCACGTGAGTGTCACTAGAACGATCAAAGCTGAAAAGGCGACGACGTTTGGTGCGTTTGGGGTAACTTTCGAAATTCGGTATATGACGCATGGTGGTCTTACGTATCGCAAGTTGTAGGCTTGTTGAAGAGAGATCCTGGCTTACCAATGTACAATTTTGAGCAGGGATTGTCTGCTTGTACCTACCATCTCCACGGCAAAGTGATATTGGATAGTTTAGCCAATTGACTATCCATTTATCCACGAATAGTGTGTAGATGTACTGGGTACTGGCGAGGTAGCGCTTGACTACAGCTCCTTGCTCATTCAGAGGTTCCATAGGCTTGCGGCTAACTTCAACAGACACTACCAGACGACGTGGCAGTTTACCGGTAGGGTTGTAGGTTGTACCATGGTCATGCGGATCAACGTTGGTATCAAGTATCCCTGATAACGTTTCAAAAAACTTCGGCTGCATAGCGTCAAATACCAAACTAGAAATATCCACAGTATCAGTTGGTGGCTTCAAGTTAAACTCTCTACTCAACAGTTCCTTCAATACAAAGCGTCCATGCTTCATATACCATGAGAATTGCCATCTATTACATGCCTTAATACGCATTGGATATAAAGGTACATCATCTATATTCGCATTCTCAGAGCCTTTAGGTCGGTTCAGGTAATCGAAGGTCGCTGGGCTCAAGATATATACGTCAAATGGCATCATGTTTTCGATAATATGACAGCTTTCGAGTGCGATCTCATAATGCCTGATACCAGAGCGCCCAAGTTTAGTACCAAAAGTCAAACGTGAAGAAGAGGTTACTTCAACCAAAGTAGATGACAAGATCGATTTAGGTAACCTATCTGTAGAGCCTGGGGAATCCAATGAGAATTTGCATTTTGGTGTTATATCTTGAGAATGATCTAACCGTGACGATGACATGTGCTCTATGCGATTTCGCCGTCTTAGAACCATAATCGTGGTTGGACTGACACTTTTTCCATCATTGACTATCGATAGTCTTGCAAACCTCTGTGATTTCAGAACATAAGCCACAGGTAGGCCGTATATGCCTATAGAAGCGGTCGAAGCCGAGTTACCTAGTTCATTATTCAAACTATCCAATGGTAACTCGGGACAACGAGCGTCTGTATCCGATTGACTTGTAGCAGAATAATCATCTGCAGGTCGATTCGAAGCTGTTAGTTCCTCTGACGAATGCATATCTATCAATGCGCAGTGTCTATCAGATTTAGAACCATCGCTGTCAGCATTATTGGAAGAAAGAGATCCCATTCTGATACTTTCGTCAACCTCATCACCACTGGCATTCTCAATTGTCGGTTCCGAAGCACGTTTGACTATTTGATTGGATGAAAGCGACCTGGTACGGAAAGTATCCCTTGCTTTACGAGTAACAGTAATATCTTGTACAAACCCTGTGTTCAATCCGCTTGCGAGAATATCCTCAGGGTCTATATGACCTAGGTTCACACGTGCTACATAATCTGGTATCGGTGTTTTAATCCTGGGTTGCTCTAATGAGGCGTATAAATGCTTTGCAGAGACACTGGATAGTAGAACGTCGCCAGTGAAGTATGCTCTAGTATCCGATAGAAAGTTAAAAGGCATATTATCTCCACGAGTAACGTGTACCGTAGTATCTTCCGAATCCACATCGAAAGGGAAATCTTCTTGTAAACATACACATATGGTACATTCAGGTTCGATAGTCCAAGACAAGGGCACACTAATACGTTGGTTCTTGTATGACATATCACCCAGTGCTATATGTTGTAACCTGAACTCATGATTACCAGATGCGACATCGTCATTCAGCTTCGTAGGATTAAGGACATGCGCAGGGGTGATATGTTTCACTTGATGCTTCGATTCCTGCATACTGGTCAACTGCTTGAATAGATTATTGCCCACAGACTTCACTACATCGATAGCCTTGTTGCAAGCAACCGTTTTAAGTGATAACGGGAAGGCACTAGTCAGTGGAGCGTGGTGTGATAACCATACCAATGAAGAGATTGGTATCATACGGTTTTCACTATCAACGCTAACTGAAGGGAACACCACCAATTTCTCCCGTGTATTGTTACTTATCCAAAGTGCAGAAGATAGTTGGATAGTTAAGTGGCTTGCAGCAGATGTGCCTGCAGCCACTTTACCACCAACACGCTGTTGCGTACGTACCATCAGGTATGCATATTTGAACTCTTCATGTTCAAACAAATGTAAAGGCATACCACTAGTTTGTCCTATTTTCCTAAAGTTTCGTACCATACTGTCACGCCAGCCTTTAATGGTGTTATGCCTTTGTAGAGAGCGTGCACTTTCCCTATTACTACTTGACACGAAATCGCTAACAATGAACCGTGTACAACCCATGCTGACACCGAACCTATACATCTTTGCCATCATACGATCATGGCGTATTGTCCTCAAGAATGCCATGCGATTAACATTACGTCCACGCTGATAGTTACGGGATACATCAAGGCGGAACATCATTTCATCTTCTTGTGTCAAATTCAACATCGATGATGGTATCTCGTATATACAGTTGTTCAGTTGGATTCTTACGACGAAAGGTAGAATGATACCGTAATTCCCTAGAGGTAGTTCACATCTCCCACCGTCGTCAATCACTCTCCATTCTTGGTTTTCAGCTTGTTCAAAAGTTGAATTGGCGTATAGGCATAAGGCTATAGGCTGTCCAAGGTTGTTGACCAGGTAAGATTGTGATTCGCTACCATTATCCGTATTAACGGTTGCATCGGTATTTCCTGTTGCATTAAACTGTGATATATCTTCACCCATGTGGAACGAGGCACGTTCAGAGTCCCCTTCTAATTTCAGTAAGCTTAAAGCACGAAGCGAATCCATGATAGAGGCGTGTACATCTAGATACCTCAGTCGATGTAACAGGTTATTTCTCAGCCTGTATTCAATGGCCGCTGGTATTTCCCATATTGGTAATTTGTGGTTTATTAGACCTAGAGTAGAAGGGTTGTCAGTATGATTCAACTGGAAAGATCCTTTAAGCACATGTGCGGGGATCATCGTCCTTGTTACATCGGTATCAATTTTGCACGCTACAGCTGGCTGAAGTGCTTTATAATCCGTTTCACTATCCTCAACAAGGTTCATGCGAATACGAGCCATCTCCGAGATGTACTTTAGGAAATTGAAGAGGCAATGGGCTCCGTTAAGCGAGATGTTCACGTTTATCCATGATGTACTGAGATTGGCAAGTGTCTTTGTATACAAAGATTGCTTGCTACCTCGGAAACATACTGTAACAGGTTCAACCACCATCTCACGGCGCATATCCCTGCAAATGTCCACAGTGACACACATATGTGATTCGAATCTGAGTAACGGCTGGGCACTATCGAATATAGTAGCGGAGTCGAATGGCAGGTTGCCCCTAACGCCATCTGTAGAGATTGGAGAATTGGCACGCAGTATACAAGAGTGTCGCTCGTCATTTGTGTAGCATCTATAAAGCATACGATGCACACCTGCGTAGCATAGAGAAATCTTGTTATCTATACCACTCGAGTATACATCAGATAAGCTCAATGACTCGTTGGAAGGGCATTCTCTCGTCGTGTCCGTTACCAGAGGATTATCACTACCACAGAAGGAGGATATGTAATCCGACTGTAGGAAGGACACGGAGCCGTTAGACCAGAAATACGATCCGAAATCTTCAACCGTTATAGTTACCATATTCTTCAACTCGTTAACATGGTTACTTGATATTTCAATGTATAGCAGGTCGAATGACAATTTCAGACCAACACTCAGTTCAGATAACAGCTGTTCCAAAAATCCAGCACGTACTATCGATGTTCTACGGCGTATCGATTTCTTCAATAGGCCGTATTTGCGTTCCTGGAAGCATGAGATATCAATGTCATCGCCATTATTAGATGATACCACGCTAACCCAATCTGATTCTGAAGCACTTTGTGCGCATGAAAAGAACTCTTCTACACCTGAACTACGCCGTTCGACAAAATCTACATGTGGGCTCAAATGTTCCGTTGGTTGAACTGTAATGGAACTTTGAGCTGAGGGTATGTCATATACTTCACTACCACAACGTTCAACGGCACTATCCATATCTAAACAGCCTGCAAGGAGCCCAATTATGCTGCAAAATGACAAAACATCGATACACGATAGTGACGCCTTTACCGATTGCAACATAACTGTTATACATAGACTTTGCGGTAGAGTTATACGTCCCATAAAACTGGGTTCGTTAAGTAGCAGTGTGGCCGATAACTCCACTCGGAACGGTTGGATGAAATGCGAATCTACCGGTTCGTTGAAATCATACAGAGTGTTCTTTGAAGATTCGAATAACCCTAACAACTTGTTATCACGTTTACGTTGTGGCCATATGTATTTCATGAAGTCATATTGCTGACGCTTGTACTCTTCCGTTACAGGTACACTCCTACGGTGATGCGGCAATACGAAGCCACATGGTGTGAGTACATGATACGAGAACTGCCTGGAAAATGAAGCCGAGATGTTACTTCCACAAGCTCTCATATACAAGCCAAGTGGCGGGTAACCTGAAAGTATCCGCCCTCTTTGTCTTCGTGAAACCTCGTGAAGATACGGCATCCCCTTATCATTGGTAACATGTTCTTGTGGAACGTGTGTATCAGCACGATCAGTCCTTAAACTTATAAATATAGTCCCACGTCCGGACCCATGCATATATATGGGAGTTGATAGGAACGCCTTACGGTAGGTCTCGTGTAACAATAGAGATACAAACGACCACTTAAGATTTGGATTGAAGTTATTACCAATTCCCATATGAGTCCCCTTATCATGGATAGATATCCTTTCCTTGGAGGTTGTCCTGAATGCATGTTCGCGTCTCTTCTCTACCACGGCCTTAACAGATAATGCGGGTGAATCTCCAGTGGATTGAGTAGCGGTATTCTGGCTGCCAGCCTGCGACATTAACCCACGTTGAGAAGAGGACCTCTCATTCATACCGAAGTAGAGTGCGTTACGCGCTTCACCAGCATCGGCTATAGAACAGGCACGAGAACATGCTGCGCTTCCAGGGTCAACCAGGTTGTACGAGTCCCTGAGTAACTTGAACCACATATAATCCACAAAGTTCTTGTAACCAACCCATGAAGAATCACATAAAACATGTAGACTGGATTGCGCGACGTTGATAGTGGCATCAACATTCAAAACCTCTGTACAGGGCTCATCGTTAGTTCCCATGGATGAGGGTATCTGAGCCAGTCGATCTACTACCCTGGTAAATAGGCCTATAAATTCGTCGGCAACCTCCCATGCAAAGTTGACCATTAAGTTCGAAAAATTGACGGTACATCTACCTCGGGAACAGTCATCGTAGTCCAGCGATGCGGTCATCATACATGGTAAGTCAAGATGCAAATTCTCTCGTGTAGGTTGGACATTTATATCCGTTGGCCACGCATATTCCATAACTGACGCTATATAACGTTCCGCACGTTGATAAGCCCTTGCTATAAAGCTGTTACGCGATTTCAATTGGAAAAATTCTTCCTCTTGGTATTCGTGTGACAACCTGTGGTTGAACCTGATGCTAGAGTATTCGATGTGGCGTAAACGGTCACGCAGGAATTGATCTCGCGTATCCAACCGACCGCAATGACCCCTATCACCTTCTTCTGAGAGTAGATGTCGCATTACTTTGTTCATGCCATCACTGTATGATTCAAGACTAGACCTAACACGTTGAACCTCTCGAGTTACTTTGAGCCATCGCCAGAAAAGGGTGGTATTACCACCACGGAACATCGTTGATAAATATATAGGCACGGCATTGGTTTGATCTTCAACTTCGACACAGCCAACAAAAGCTCGTAAACGATGGGTACCATGATCTGAATAGCAAGCTTTTATTCCTATACCGGTAACTTTGCAGCTGGCCAACGGTAATGCGACGCCGTATCGACTAAGTACCGATTGCATATTACACAATGCAGCGTGTCTTGATGCCGTATGTCCAAATTCTGTTGAACTTAGGTAGTCTAACCTTGTGTTACGACGTATGTCACTAAGGACCATTTCACCACGGGTTGCATAAGATCCGGCATCAACTGTTGGAATGATAACCATACTACCCATATCATTAGCATCATGTCGATCTGTATCTTTGTCATAATAATGCATCGAGGTGGTAGACGTTGGGCAAGGCGTACCTGGCAAGGAATCATCAAACTTTGTAACACCGATATCTGTAGGTTTGTACTGATACTTTTGCCCGTTATCCAACCTTACAGGTCGCCTTAGCTCAGAGAAGAGGTAGTCTAGTTTCACTTCATAAAGGGTGCTCTGTGATGCTTCCAATGCCCTCTGTTTGAGAGTATGTTGTAAATCATGCCATTTATGCGATACCAGCGTTCTGAAGTCCATCAAACAACATCTGTTTGGCATATTAGTGCTATTAACACCCGTAGCTTCACATTGTTTGCGGTACATGTGGCCTGGCTTATTACCTGATTCGTTAATAACTTGTGTAGGTCTAGCTCCATAGCTGCGTATAAAGGCTTCATAATCGTTACAAATCCTGACATAATCCGTATAGATATCGATTATATGCAACAGGTCGTATTCACGTAGCGATACGTATATAGATCCTAGGTTTGCAGTAATAATGGTCCTGGGTACATCACGTTTCGTGGATACCGAGTTAGCGCATTTGAACTTTATGAAAACCTCATTATCTCTACCCATGGACAATATTTCGAAATTGTTCTGCAGCTTTGATAACGACAATGCTATAACGGGATCATCGCACCCTCTACGGCGTGACAGACTACATGTCATACCCAGATAATCGCTTAGTTTTACTAGACAGCCCGAACCTAGGTAGATCTGACGGTTCCCACCATCTGTTAGGAAGCTATAATCACCATTTACCGATATTAGCCTCATATTGGACAACCTAAGGAGATGTGAATCATATGGCGACTCTCCTTGTGGTTCCACAACACGGGGTGTAACGTCGCTAGCCACAGCAAACGATTCCAGACATACGGCATAAGGCATACGGTAATCTGAGAACCCTGCATCTACGAAGAATGTCATCTGTTTTCTCACTTCTACGAAAAAATAGCGATTCATAAAAGATATCGGCCCTTGCAATAAGTTTCTCGAAAACTCGATACCCAAATCTATCAATTCATAAAGTTCAGTGTAACATCCAGTTCTATCCTGTGAGAGTTGCAATATCCTTTTATGTGCTCCAACCAAAACTGGGTTTACGGTATCGTTTTCACGCTGGTTGTGTTTCTTCATACGCAGATGGTCACCTAGTTCATCCAGTACATGCATATGTCCGAATACATCGCAATTTACATGGAATAAGAAACGCGTATCAGCATCATTTGGTGTACAATAGCGATTGAAGCCCATGCCGATATACATATTGGCATCCAAAGTTAAACGTACCGTTTCATCAGATCTCCCAAGAAAGTCCGCTGCAAAATCATGATGTAGTTTCTTCAATCCGGTCATATTTGCCGGTTCTGTATCTACAACATGGGTATGTGTGCTAAGTGATGACACATCACCGCAGGATATCAATACCGTTGCAGGGGCATCGAGGAAACGACATGGGCAATCATGTAGTGAGTGATACTCGACATTCTCGTTCTCTATGCTGAACGGGAAGCTAACAAGGCTGAATGGCAACAGTTCAGTCACAACCACTTGACAGCCATCCCTTCCGTACATATCGCAGAAAAATACATGTAACCCTTTGGTAGAAAATACGTATGCCTTTGCAGCTAAACTACAACTGTCATAGGGCTCGACCTCGTATGTGTATGTTACCCGTGACTCCTTGAGTACCAAGTCGAAGGCGAAATCAAATGTTAACATTTGCGGTTGGCATATCTTTCTTAAAGAGTCTAGGAAAGCATGTGATTTTGCATGTTTTGTAGCAATCTCATAAATACCGCCAACAATCTTAAGCCTCGCGTGTAATCTAGACGATTCTTCCCTATCATCATCTGGTTCAGAGCCTTCACGTTCATATTGCCCGCAGATATTCGTCAGCAAAACATCGGTAAGACAGTCTCGTGCATCACAGCTGTATCCCCGCCGTTCCCCAAAGCTTTGGATTAGATTACGCAGTGCCGTTGAAGAGTTTTTGCGTAACACCCGAATAGCTGGGATAGAGTGTAGGATTTCGAAATCCATAATGAACTCCCTCAACTCGTTTTTTTGGCTAGATTGCCCCAATAGCAAATATTGTGGCCAATATTCCATATACATATTTTCATCCTCAGGTGTCGGTCTAGGGTTCTCAAAGGTGTAAATTATCCCACATTGCCACGAGAAATATTTCATGATACCTTCATATAAAATGTTGGTAAGGCATTCTAGTTGATCTTTGGATATCACTAGGTTCAGGCCTTCCAAATGCAAGAATATAGACCATTTTGGTAAATATTCCTTGGCCATAGCGATATCCTCTTTGTACAATTTGGAGTCTTGTTCAAGTCCCCATCTTGACCAACATGTTCTAGGTTTTACGGATGGCCTTGTAGGATAGAGACATAGGTAAAATGATGCCACACCATTGAACTCTTTCGGGTTCACTATATAGTTATGGTTCGATTCTTCTAATAAACGCAGGAAGAGTTCCTTTAAACCAGAATCTCCGTTACGTTTTACAACAAAAGTGAACCTTGTCCAAGTCTCGCCAACTGTTTTCGCATCCTGATGGCACCATGAATCGGCACATTTTTCCATATTAGGTTCTACATCCGGCGTATCAGCCTCTACCTTTGTGTCGGTGTTAGAAAATGTGCCGCCATGGATCCCCTGGGTATGCCACGTCTCATCGTACGACAACGGGGCGTTCTTTTCGGCATTATACTCCGCAGGATCGAAAGGGTCAGATTCTGCTTCAGACAGTACACAATCAATGTTATTACATACACCAAAACAGCGAGCTGAATCTACAACTTCTGATTGTTCGTCTCCTTCGATTACTACATCATCAGAGTTGTGGGTAGGGGCAACATCTGAAACGGATACGCTATCCACTTCCATGTTCGACTCTTCCACAGTAGTGACGAAGTTAACATCACTATTGGCTTTCTTGAGATTTGGTTCATGTTTGGTGCAACCACAGCTCCTGCCGTGATGTCGAGAGGCATATCTTTCCTGTGCCTTGTGTATGATATCAAAAGATTCATGCTCATGTTCTTCTTCTGGCTGTTTGATATCACAAAAAGTGCTTAGCAGTATACGCCATGTGGAGGCTGAAGAAAGGTTGCAACCTATAGAGTTCTCGAACGAGAGGTTATTTTCTGGAGTTGTGCTATCGCATACCGATGAATCATCACAGAATACAGGGCACATAAAGCAGCATATACCGTCGTTATTGCACATTCTACATGTCCCTGTGGATGAAGGACCTGCTGTGATCGAACCATGTGTTGATGCGCAATGTCGATCGGTTCCGTTATGCATATTTACATGAGGCATCATTCGTCTAAATCCTCTAGATGGTGTCGAGCTATCTTTTTTGCCCATGTCTCCTCTATCACAATATATCCCTGATAATCTGCAACCCATACTCGTTGATAGTGATGTGCGCTGATGCCGGTAATTGCGGTTTCCCCTGCAAAAGCTACGTTGCCAACCTGTCCTAGCTCCGCCTTCACATTCTGAGACGTGGTCCCCTGATGATAGGTATGCCATTACTCTAGATACCACGCGACCGAAGATAGCGTTTGTAGACGCCAGTACCTTTAGCCTTCGTGGTGGTCCCGAGGGATGCCGCATTGCGGGATCATAAGCAAAACGTACAAAACGCAATCTATGTCTACCATTGTCTCCAGCGCGTCGGCATTTGATCCTGAATTCTTTTCTGCATGGCTTATTTTTTGTAGCTGGACAGTAGCGCAGTCGGTGTCTCCTTGCTATTCTGACAAAGTGTATAGCTTTAGGGTTACCGTATCGTGCATATGCTGCACTTGCCGCGCTACCGTGGCTCCTGGCGTCTACAAACAAAGCCTCGTCTAGGCTATCTGTACTTGACATGCGGAAATTATCGTTTTCCCGCATCCTCGCATTATCCTTATCATATGAGTTGCACCTTGAGAAATCTGTATTGTGCATCATCCCCGGTCGTATTGGATCCAATCTATCTACGTAGACTCCTACTTCTCTGAGTTCTATCCTTCTGTGTATAACACTTGGGTTCAACGCCCCGTGGTCATTGTAGAAGGAGCGTCTGAACGGAGTGGCATTATTCATTCCATCATTTGTTGAGCTTGCGGGATCTAAGCCTGTCAAGAATACTGCCGATTTGACCATACAACCAAATGCATATGCGAGGTTGGGGTTTGTGGTAAAATCTTCTATGCGTATGTGTATGTTGTTGATGCGTACCTCTAGGTTCTCTAAGAACGATACTACTGTGCGCCATATTATCCCTCCGCCCTCAATCTCTGTCACTACCTGTTGCAGTGATTCCGCTGCGAGTGTAGCTACCTTGTATGCTACATGTTCTTCACGGAATGCAGCTGGATCCCATTGATTTTCAGGTATTGCTGTGAGTAGCATGATAACCTGGTTAATTTCGACCACCAGCTTGCGCTTTGACAAGCTAAGTAGCGGCAGGTGTATGGTAATGCTCACATGGTCTATAAGCCCGAAAGTCATGTGATATGGCAGCCCAAGTGAATGTACGATGCTTGGTTTTAACCTTAATCCCGTTAAAACCACCTTTCCACTGAGGAGATTGCTGAGGTGCAGGGTGTTTTCATCTATGCCATCTACATATGGCTTGAGTAGTTTATTTAATAGGTTGATGATTTTGCCTTCAAACATCTTCGTCTGAATCTGCAAATTATGTGTGAGGTAGGAGAATATGTAACAATATTTGCCACAATGAAGTGATAAAATGTAATTCTACGTTCCATGTTGTCACAATATCAATCATTTTTTCCACCAAATACTGTATGTATGTTGACCTTACTGTTCCCTTATGGATATTTTGCGCTATGACTTACCTAATCACAATCCTGTTATAGTTTCGATGTGAGGGCCTTTAAGCCCTGAGAGTTGAGTTAGAAATGTTGAACGAAGCCTCCATGATACCATTAAAAAAAGTCACGTTGCTAATATATTATTTTGCAACACACCGGCTAGAAACTGCGTAAAATCCAGTGCGGTATCATACACATCACACTATTCGATGCCTTTATATCGCCATAGTGTCCACACACGAAGTTTGGTCTCGATTTACCTCCGCAACGCCATTGCGTTACCAGACACACGTCTGTCCAAGGTAAATATAAGTCGACAAAATGCCGATAGATCCAAATGTATTAAAAATATATACTTTAGCGATGTAGGATTATTTACACTGGAGATTCATTTCTACACTCCAAAGACATTAAAGAGCACACACCGGTTATGGGCACGACGCGAGGCACACGACTCACCGCAGGTCAGACTAACGGCTAAACCCTTATTACATAGCTTTAATTATACTTCATAGCATTATTATGTATAATAAGGTCTCTAGATTCCATTATATCAACTTTTTTGTTACCATGTTATCCCAGGGGTAACTGGGACTAGAAAGATCAACAGTGGTCCGAACCACTGTTATGTTATCTGTTCTATATGATATTAATCTGATTTTTTGAAGTCTCGGAGGATCTTTGAGTGATTCATTATCGCATCTATCTATCTGGGTGGCATCAAAGTTGCCGTGATAGGACCATAAAATACCATCATTATCTTGTACCAGGTATATATTGTACAAGATGTTGAATATGGGCTATTGGGGGCCATCTGACGGCGTATCAGATGTCAGCGCCCTTAAGGAATTTGAATTGAAGAGTAAACTATACAGCGTACAAGTTGGAATAACAACTAACGATGTGGAAGTAAAAAAGATACTCAGAGCACTTATAGAGCCCATAACCATATTCGGTGAGGGTAAATACGAACGGAGAGAAAGGCTTAAAAAAATATTGCTATTTAAGTATGATCGACTATTCCATGGTAAAGATGTCACGAGTGCTGTTGCAAGCTCAAGTGAAGCGAAGAATCTATACGATGCTATCAGGGCGTTCAATATCGACATGTCGAATGTTTTTTCTAAGAAGGGGGTGTTCGGAGAAGTGTCTCAACAGGAAAATGTCCAGGATAATGCAGATAAAGAGCTGTTCTATACAGAGGGAAGTGAGGAGGTTAAACAGCTGAGAAGCGATCTTGCGCATCACACATGGGAACGAACACGTAAAAGGAAACGGCTTATCCATAACTATAGGAATATTACAGACCAATTTGAACATAAGGACGATATAGACAGGTATGGGAGCTACCTAACAGATTCTCTTGTGCTTGCATATTCACACTTGGCGGCCGATAGGCCTCTTACTGCGTCTAAATTCGCTCCGAATATGAAATATATCGCAGTAGGTAGTTTCTGTAGCTATGTCAATGTGTTTCATTATAAGCCAGAGGAAAACTTCCCCATGGCTAGAAAGTTGGAAAACGCTTGTAAGGAGATGATACATTGTTTAGATTGGAACTGCAAGAGGAACCCAATATACGATCATAACGCTGCTCCATCGGATATTAACGATGAGGAATTGCTATTGGCTACTGGAGGATCTGGTGGGACAATATCGTTATGGAGGCCATTTCCCAAACAAGTGTGCGACCATGATGGTCCTGATTTTTGTGTACACAGTGTCAAACTTCATGATGAGCGGGTTAATCGCATTAAATTTCATAATTTTAGAGATATATTGTTAAGCTCATCCGCAGACGAAACTGTCAGGCTATTTGATACACATGCTATGCAGGAAATCTATATACAGGAAGGCCACAGCCATGGAGTGCATGGCCTGGCTATTAACGGGGACGGTAACCTGGTTGCATCCGGCGATATGCATGGCGTGGTTTTGATAATAGACCTTAGAACTGGGAAGCATATATTCCAGCAACCTATGCATAATGGCAAGGTCACTGCGATAGATTTCCATCCTGTGTATAACCACCTAATGGCAACCGCGTCCGATGATAATGCTGTCAAACTGTTTGATCTCAGGAAGGTCAGGGCTGGTAGCGCACTTTTAGCGCATACCAAGCTTGTAAGTGATATGCAGTTTGAACCTATTTACGGTCGTTACCTTGCGACAGGTTCATTTGATACCCATCTCAAAGTGTGGGATACTGCAGAATATAAATGTAGGAAAGTACTATCGAACAACGAAGCTAAAATCATGAGCGTCAACATAGCTCCAGACTCCTCGGCTATAGTGACAGCGTGTTATGACCGTACCTTACGTATATTCAAGCCAAACTATACCCATGACGAGGTGACGGAGCTTGGCATATATCGCACAATCCACCAGTGAGCTTCTGCGACCTCAGTGCCATGAATTAAACAGACACTTTTGATTTTAATATAGGCCTTTACGGGGCAACTTATATTTCTAAATATTACTTAGTAGGTTCGACTTTTTAAATATCAGAACGCCTATTAGTGGAAATAAAGATAACAGACACAGGTGAGTGCGATGAGACCGCAGCAGTGACCGATATTCATGTACATCACCGTGTTGTGGGCGTATTCATTTTTACACGTCAACCCTTCGATAGTGAAGTTCTCCAGACTTGAAAGTAGGTGATGTTGTAGGAAAGCGTTGAGCCACATCCTGATACCGTACAGAATACAGAATGCGATGAGGACTCCTTTTTCTATCGTCTCGCCAGTGCACCACTTGAGAAGGAATTCACTCGTCACGAAAAGAGCAAATATTATGACGAATAGACCTGAACGCATGTAGCCAATCCAGCTAATGCCTGTTTTAGGCCATTCTGCAATCTTATCATCGAAAAACATGAACAATAGTCTGATGAGGAAATAAGGTGCGATTGTGAGCAAACCGGCCAGTACAAGGAAAGGGCGTGCCACGAAAACGACAGTAGCATCCGAAACACTGATAGCAACCGACATAGCCAATAGGGCCATCTCGTAAGATGGCTTGATGAAAGAAGGTGTCGTATAATTCATGCTCCAAAGACCGTAATCTTCATGAGCTATGCCAGCATATTTTTCAGAATATTGTGATAAGAAGTAGAGAGTGCACTCCTCTTTCAAAGCCGCCGTACCGGTTGAACTGGCGATATGATCTTTATTCGCCGATTGTAAGTCTGGACATTGAATGCTAACTTTAGTATCTTTTGGTTCAATTGCCAGGCATTTTTTCGAATCATCCTTCTTACAGCAGAAGTACTGCTTTTCATTTGTCAGATGCAGTGTCACTACTACCGTTGCAAAGAGGCTGATGGCGACTTGCATGGCCATGGCTATTACGTAGCCGCCGAGTACTCCACCGCCCGTATACAATGTCTTAAGTGTGTACATAAGTAGGAGGGTGTAGAAATAGCCCATGCCCAAGTTACTCCATCCGAGCAAGCTGTGTATCGATTTGCCAAAACGCCCTCCCATCAAAGCGTTCATGTAGAGCATCATGTTACCGGCTATAAACAGGATAAATCCCTCGAATCCAACCAGGCAGCACATAAGAGTGAAACACAGAGAAGGGCTCGGGTTGCACAGGCCCAAAATTACAAATCCAAGTGGTGGGACCGTTGTTAATCCGATAGCCACAATCGGTGGTAGCACCGTGAATAGTTTTGTGAACGGCAATGCCAAAGATGCCACAACTGCCGGGCATATAAGACAAGCCATCAACACAAGAATAGATTTGTTAGTTGCGACGTGTTGGTTGTTCCTTGAGTATTCAAAGATACAACCCAATAGGATAATCAACGATGTGTAGAATACCGTAGTACAGAGCTCGACAATACGGTTACTTGACATGTAAAACTGGTCACGTTCCAATGTGTAAACCTTTCTGCATCCCTGTTCAGTATTCCTGGACTCATGGTTATCATGACCTATGTTGTTTATGCCGACAGCTGTGCAAAGCGATAGGTAATATGGCAAGCTCAATATCACGCTCAAAATGTTAGATAACAAAATGTCAGAACCGAAAGGATTGTAAGCTGTATCTTCTTCTTCTGCAAGGGGTTCTTTCCCTTCTGGTCCTTCTACAGATTCGTTTTTGTCACATTCTTCTTTTTCTTCGGATTCCTTGCGCATTCCCATTTCGATGATACTACAGATAACCAATACACCACCCAAAATAAGGATCATTAGGAATACGGTGATACGCGGCCCACATAGGTCGAAGATGTAATTGAAAACCACCTGAAGGAGTAATCCGAAAATGGTATTAGCGATATTTGCTACACCCATCAATGTAGATTCGTGTTCCGGGAAGACCTCATCGATGAAGGTGATTAGCTGCTGAATATCACCAGCCTGTGCTATAGCGAAGAGCAACGCTGACGTGTATGCACATGGGAAATTACGGAAGTAGACAGCACAGAGTGCGCCAATATACATAGTTGTGGTTATACCCATCATAGTCACAACTCCGAAATACTCGTTCATGTAACCTAATATAAAACTGCCAACGAAAGAAAGGTCAGATGCCTCTTCCAAAAATGTGATAACAGCCTCGTTATCGAAGAATAGAAGACTAAATGAACGGCGGTAGAAGAGACGAACTGAGCAAAGAAGGATGTAACAGGTAACCGACAGCCAGTATCTAACATCCTTCACAGCTTTCGCAAAACTCTCGTTGAACATATCAGAAAGTGATTGCGCTTCTTCACTGTCCTCCTCATCTAGTACTATAAACCGCTTTGGTATGAAGTACAAGGTGACGGAGATGGAGACCAAAATAGCCCAAAATATATATGTCAAAGCCGATCCTGTGAACCCTATTTTGAACCGGTATGCAATTTTTTCTACAATCGTGGGCGTGAACATACTCAGGTTATCGGCGGCCGTGATCACACTAACTGCCATGTTGTTCCCGAATGTGAACATACGCGAATAGTGCCAACATGGAGCCAAAGCGAACGAACATGAGATACCCCAAAAGAAAAAGGTGAGGTATAACATGATGGTCGAGTAGCTGAAAAGATGGAACATAACAAAAGCAATCACACCAGCAATCTGTCCTGTCAATAGCGCGTAGAAGGCACCGAAACGATCTCCTATATAACCACCGATAATACCCATGAATGAATCGGTGTACATGATGGCCGAGTAGAGGTTGGATATACCTCGGCGTTGAGCATCACATACAAACGTGCCATCGGTGGCCGTTTTAATCTCTTCTTCAGTACATAAACCCGAGAGGATCTTGTCACGCATAAACATATCCTCGAAAATCGTCCAGTTGTAGTACAAACTGGATGTCAAACAAATTGACACGCATCCCATGCATATGATAACATATTTGCTGAGTCCATATGGTAGGGCCTGTTTCTTAATCCTGTCAGTACGTTTCTTCCGCTTGGGGAAGAAGATGTTCCCAATGCCTTCAAACTTGCAGAGACATTTTCCTACAATGGAGGGTTCAGTGGTCTCAGTAGTGTCACAGGGAACCTTCATTTCAGTCCCGGCTTCCGCTGCCATCTTGTCTATAATATGAAAATATGAAAGTACAAAAATGAAACGCCAATAGAGCGATAATGGATAATATTCCAATTAATATACATTCAATGACAATTAGTCACGTATGAGCACAAATAATCGATGGCCTTATAAATGACATGGCCAAAATACCACTAATATATAACAGATTGACAAATAGGTCAATACTCTGAGCATCAATAAAAGGGGCGACCGCTAACTGTCTATGGACCCATCCTATGTAAAATAGTCATGTTATAGCGACTATTTTGCAACGCAAAAGCCTAGGTTGTAACGGATCCAAATAGAACACATTAAGGGCAGCCCCTAATTAGTGTTAGGGAGGAATGCTGTTCATATTGGACACATGGACAAAACGCATATGGGAGATAGTCAACAATTTTTGTCCGATACGCATAGTAATAGCGCGTATCTCGGAAATAGAAAGTGGCGGAAGAAATTTACAACCGCTAACATACATCGCACTACACACACACACACATGCGGAGCGCTAGATGATCTCTAAGATGAAAACTGTGACCATATAATGTGCAAACTAACGCAATGTGATCTATGGATATACAGATTGAACAACTAGTACCGATATATGTGTCACGGGCGAATGCGTCCTTATGGCACCGAGGGGAATACATCTCATAGTACATATCTAGTATGTTCTAGTAACCCTAAGGTTATCTCGTTTGAATGACGCAAAGCTGTGTTGGTAAATTATCCAAGCAGGTGATATTAGCATAATCTAAGCCACGCCATAGACAAAGCTTGACCACTTTCGATGACCTGCATATGAATCCCATTATACGCCACCACGCCATTCCTAACGGCGTAGTGAGAGTTGTAACTAGTCTAAGAAGTAAGCATACTGCAGCACGAACGCGCCGGAAGGATGCCAAAACAGCGTGGTTCAAGGACCCGCTGGCGGCGGCACAAAACACTGACAGACAGCATGTCAAACATTTTGACACTAACATACTACGTACTCCACGCGACAAGATAATGCAAAAAATTGTACAACAACGCAAAAATAGAACCGCTAAACAAAATGATGGAAACTATAATCTATACCAATTGGCAGATGAATACCTAAATATCGAACATGATGTTAAGGCATTTACGCCATCACAAGAAACTATATTACAGAAGCAAATCGGTAATCTGTTGCAACAGAGGTTCAATTATAACCCAATATCAAACATACAATTATATGATGGTAGGGAGGAGAAAAGGGTTATTGTCAAAGAACAGATATCCAGATCGAGTAGTAAAGGTTTTTCAGAAATTGGTGACAGTGACCATTGTGAAGATCATGGTACAGAGCAAAGCTCTGGGCCTAAGATACAACAAACAGAGGGGCACCCAAACGAGAGGATTGTTAGGAGTTTAAAAGATGTTGCTTTGCCAAACGGCACTATTATAGATGTAGACATTTCGGCATTTGAAAAGGAAGAGGATGATATGGATACATTCCAGGTGCTGGACACTGCAAAGGTGAATACTGAACTGTTGCGCCTATGGACATCAGATGATATCATACAGGCGGTATACTTCAACGATTATCTTCTTCCAACGCTTTCAAGCGATGCTGAAACAGAATATTACCATATCAGGAATAAGGCGGCCATATTGGATAAATCATACTCGTTACCGATGCTTGTAGAGGGAACACACGCATCAGATTTCTTGGAACATTTTGTCACTGTTGCTGTGAAGCAAATGGTGCCCGGGGTTACGCAGTATACGCCCGTCATAGATACAAAGGGATCGGTGATGGATATGGCATATATAGCAAGGTATGACAACGATTATTTGTTAGTAACAAACGGGCTGCAAAAACGCAATGTATACGATTACATGACCACTTACCTTGTATCTTGCAGGCGATCTGGTCTAGATGTCAGTTTGAGGCCGTTAGTGTCGAGTGCAGTCATCAGTATCCAGGGTCCGAAGTCTGCAGAATTGTTACAAAAAATCACACTGACAACGGGCGATAATAGTGCTGTGGGCGGAACGTATGATGCGTATATCTCATTGCCGACGACATTTGCCGAATTCATGAAATGTTTCGAAGGCACTATAACGTACCCCGATAACCATGAAGATAACAAGTTGAAAACAGAGCGTATTCGTGGAATGAGGATAAGTGATGTTGGGGAGGACGGTTTTGAGCTTGTTCTAAGCTCTGAGGCAGCAACCACGTTGGTAAGGACTTTGCTAAAGCAACAAGACGTTTGTGCTGTTGCATTCAAAGCGTATGATTCAGCAAGGATGGAAGCAGGGATTATGCGTTCCGATATAGATTTACCAACGGAATCATCGCCAATACAAGCTTCGGTGGCATGGTCCGTGGATACTAAGAAATTGAGATCTGGTTCCCTTTTCGGCAGGAAGCATATGGCGGCGCAACTTATTAACGGGGTCGCTAAAGTGTAGGTTAAAATATAGTTGCAATATAGATTACAGACGTGTTGGACTAATCGCAAATGAAAAGGTAGACCAGTACTGCAACATCCTCACAGAAGACACAAGGAAACCCATAGGTAACGTTATTTAAATACCAGAACGTATTATGCAGGATTTGTCACATCATGTACATGGAGCTACGGTCTACAGATGTACCTGGCGCAAGCATATGTTAACACGGAACACGCCAGACATGATATGGTAGGGCCAATCATATACAATCTCACTCATGGCAGCCTGTATATCTTAGCCTCCCTGTTAAGCCGGATGCTCCCGTGACCAAGCGCCAGTTCCGAAAATATTATCGCAATAGAACAAGAAGGAAGTTCATTAAAGGAACTATTGTACGACTACCATTCGTTCTACACAATTACCCAATCAGAGACGAACAAAAGTGTTACGTAGGTGGCAGAAACGTGCCGCTACAACCCGCAAGAAACCAATTGCACCAGGAAAGGGAACAAGTAACGGCCAGCGAAGAGCCACCTAGTGTGACGACAGGAGAAGGCGATGCTACAGTTGGGAGACAGGACCAAGTGCCACGTGTAAAAACACGTAAACAGCTATGGAAAGAAATTATAGCTAAACAACGTAGCAAGAACGCGAAGACACTTGAACTTGCGATTAAGCAATTAGAAGAAGCAAGGGTTAACGCTCATCTCGAGAAAGAAGTGAAGCAAGAAGGATCTCATACACAAAGTGGACCATTGCAAGTAGAACGCATCAACATCGCACCCCGAGCCGATATTGCCCTGGAAGATGTGATACAATACTACAGGGAACTTCACAGTGGGACTGTACCGTCCAGACACAGGCGTTACAGGCCGCCAATTGTGGCGAGCGCTCTATTACAGACAGGTGTGTAGCCTAAAAGACAGTTGGTCGTAACGGGGGGTAGGGGCCACCTCCCGTTACAATATAATTGCTTTAACAACAGTGTAAACACACGAATCACCATAGTAGACACATTGTGTGACGCAGCTGTGATATCGGTGTGGCGCGGCCAACCGTGATATGGTGGGCAACTATTTTATCCGAAGCCATTCATTACCATATATAGTTTTCAAAGATAACTTTAACGCCAAACAGAAAAGTGTATTGGCGCTTATATCCTCTATAGTACGGATAGAGGTGAAATATGGAGGTGAATCTGGGTACACGCTTAAACAAAGGGCGGAAGCCCATAAAAGCGATAATAGCTTTCTTGGTCATGATAACAACGGTTAATCTCGTACACACCCAACACGCAACTATTGGAATTGATTGGGGTGAAGAATATGTAGAAGTGGCTATCGGTTTTCGTGGACACAAACCAGATATACTGCTCAACGATACAGGTAGTAGGAAATTTTTAAATGCTGTAGCTTTGGATGGAGAAACAAGATCATTTGATCAAAAGGCAGGAACGAAATTAATTAAAACACCAAACAAAACAGTACACAAATCCGCACATTTAATAGGAATACCCGTAACAATGACTATGACACAAGAACCTACGTCAGTACCGAAGGAACATGTTATAGACGATCTGAAAGCTAAAGGTGTCAGATTCGACTGGGAATACTCACCTTATGACTTCGGTGCAGATGCTAACGGCCAGCTATACCTTAAAATCGGAACGGAGGGGATGGTCAAAGTAGAGGAAGTGGCGGGTCACTTCTTCAACTACATCAAGGATATAGTTGTATCGAAACTCAAAAAATCCAAAGTATGGACACCAAAAGATGGAAATCTCACAATAATAGCTGTAATCGCAATACCATGCAACTATACACAAAACCAAAGGAGAGCGATTGTTTTCGCAGCAGAAAGTGCAGGAATGAATGTGGCAGGAACAGTTCATGGGATCACAGCAGCATCAACCATGCGCGCATTCGAACAGGCACCAGGTAAAAAGAGGATACTATTCTGTGACATTGGAAGCTCGGGGGCCAACGTTGGGGTCATAGAGATCAACGTGCCAGAAAAGGATAGGAAAAAAACTAAAGCAAACACTGAAACGCAAATTAATGTACTCTCTTGTGTCGCGAATCAGGGGATAGGTGGTAGACACCATGATGTTGCACTTGCGCAACATCTGAGGAATATTTTCGAAACGAAAACCAAAATTAAGCTCATGCCACAATATCCTAATGCCTTACAAAAATTAATCAAGGCAGCAAATAAAGCAAAAATCGCACTCACAATTGCCGATTCAACATATGTAAATATAGAAGGGATTATCAAAAATGTAGACTTCACAAAAGAAATAGTCACAAGACAGACATTCAACCAACTCATTGCGGAGTCGATCGATAGGCTCGGAGAAACGGTTAAAATGGCGCTGGAACAAGCAGGGGGGATCAAAATCGAGGAGTTGGATGGAGTGGAACTTATCGGCGGCTCTTCAAGAGTACCCGCTCTACAGGAAAAACTAGCCGATATTGTAAAACCACATGCTCTAGGGTTCCATCTTAATGCTGAAGAAGCTGTCGCAGTTGGGGCCGGATATCTTGCCGCAGCACATAACCCTTTCTTCAAAATGAGAAGTGCTAATATAGGAGATAACAGTGTGTACATGTATGCTATCAAAATAGTGTCAAAGGACAATACCCATCCAGACGCTATCGAAAAATATACCCCGCTATTCAAACCGAGTGGGAAACTACACGGAGCGAAAAGTGTCGTATTTAAAACCAAGCTGGATGTAGAAGTATATTTGAAGGAAAACGAACAGGATATAGCTATATATCATGTTACAGGGATCACGGATAACATGGAAAAGGAAGAAAACCGTGGAAAATTAGCACAAATTACTCTAACATTCATGGCAGATGATAGGGGTATCATCTCAGTTGTGAAGACCAACGCCACAGTAATCGATGATGCAACTAACGAGGAGGGGGCCACGGAACAACGCAAAGAAGAAACAACAGATGCTGCGACAGAAGACAAGGAACAGGAACCTCAAAATGAACAAGAGGTTAAGGATACAGAAAACAAGAAAGAAGAAGCAGAAGAAAAGGTTCAGGAACAAACTACTGAAAATCAAGATAAAAAGGAAGAAAAGAAACCGGTAACATTCGATCTCAACGTAGAGGTGATGAACATCTACGATGCCTTCACACCAGAAAATTTAGAAAAATCGAAAGCAGCTATCGATGCACTGAGTAGACGTGATATGGATGTTGCAAAACGATCAGAAAGCAAAAACTTACTAGAGTCACTTATATACAAGTACAAAGGAGCGGCCAAAGAACAGGGGTTCCAGGCGGCATGTGATGAGGACACGTTGAAAAAGATAGATGGCATGATCAAAGAATACGAGGAATGGTTTGATGAAGAATCATACAATGCAACACTGCAACAGTTTGATGAACGTATCGAGAAAATCGAGTATATCGCAAAACCCGTACACCACAGGTGGTCGGAAAATGAGTCACGTCCAGCGCTAGTTGTATCAACCCAAAAGGCAATCAACAAGTTGATCAAATCGTTCGAAGAACTCGTTGAGAAGAAACCGTACGTTGTGGAAATGACTGAACTTGTAGAAAGGTTTCAGAATGTTCAAAAGTGGTGGGAAGACGCACAGAAACAACAAGATGAGCTGCAACCACATGAGGAGCCTGTGTTTAACGCAAATTCAATTAAAATTCAAATAGAAATTGCGAAACAGGCATTGTCTACGTTACAAAAAACGCCACAACCAAAACCTCCGAAAGAAGAGAATCCAAAGGAGGAACCCGAACAACACAACGAAGAGAAACAGACGGAGGAGCAACAGCAAGGTGAACAAGAAAAGGTGGAAGAACAGGACAGTGCAGACGAACCAATCGCCACTGATGAGCTATGAGGTGGCTAACTAATGAAATTAATGAACCAATATATGCATATGAATAAAAAGTAGGCACTTCATTAAACCCTATGTTTCTATATGTTATTTCGGGTTAGCTGTGAAACGCCCTATTTTGGCGGCTGAAGAGAAGGCCCAGAGCCTGGACCCATAGGCATCCATTGCATCATGCCATGGATGTTCTCCGCAAGCGGCGCTGCGCTAACGTGACTGCCATCCAAACCGTTGGAAGCAACGTCGCCGGGAGAGAGCTCATGCGAACCGTCAAGATTCGCAAAAGCACTGTCTGGTAAAAAACACGCATTACTGCTAGCACTATCAAAAGATGAAGGGGTACCGAAACCATGCTGTTGTCCCTGAGAAGGGAAACAGTGTGCTTCCAATTGCGGGAAAATGCGATTAGGGGAGTGAACCCGACTCTGAAAACGCAAGTTATTCAGAATATGAGTTCTTGACGGGTTATTCAAAATAAGACGCAAATATGCAACACCGTCAGTAGTAGACCCCGCGCAAGGCTCCTCGCCACGTTGGCAACACAACATATGTGGAGTCACATCCTCACCGTAAAAACAATCCGAATGTTGATGGCCATAGAATGATCCGCGACCTATAACATTATGGAATGTAGCAACATCACCAGATGAGACACTAGGACTGCTGTCAGAAAAGTAAACCGGCATGCCAGAACGAACCGAAGTATGTCCAGATTCACCAACTTCCACACTAATGGGACTCACGGTTTCAAAATGAACAACTGAGCGTTGGGTGTAACCGTCAGCACTGGTGCCAATCGAGTCGTCGATCATGTTGCGCAATGTAGACCTAACAGGTGTGGTAGACTCAGTAAAAACAATCTGAGAATCCACGTCATTGCAGAAGCTGAAACGCCCAGTTACAGGTGGAATGTCAACACAACCTGGTACAAAGGGCAATGTAGGATCAACTGCAAGCTCGATCAAACTACGACCAACCTGAACAGCCATGGTCTCAGTAGGGCTGATAGGTAATGGACGACGCAATGCAACCAATGTCCCGAATTTAGAGTCATGGTCTTCCAAATAAAATGTACCGTTCTCATAAAAGATAGTAGCATGATTACGAGATATAGAAACGTCGGCTATGCGCACAGATGCATCGTGACCACGACCAAGACGCACGAAATCAGAATCCTGAACGCTGATAAAATGCAAACCTTTATTTGCTTGAGGCGTTACATTATCCAGTAAGATAAAAGGATGAGACATATCCGGCATCATTATGAGCGGGACCAATTCACCGTTCATTCGGACAAATGGTGGTAAACGGGCCTTGCATAACTCACACGTAGACTCACACAATAATGCAGCTTTCAGAGGTTGATCAGATTCCTTGCTGTCTTTTAACGAACGCAAGTGAATCCAACGACGCATACATTCAGCGTGTACGTATTTGATGGAGCCTTTGCACTCACAAGGGCACAAGAGAATATCATCACTTGTTCCCTCGGAGAGACAAATACGACACTGAATAGGTGCACCTTCAATCTCTGGAGTCTCCAATTCTGGTACCTCGTAGTCCAAAAGAGTAGTCACATCAAAACCTGCCAAATCATCTTTCGAAACGATCTTCTTCACACGCAGACGGTAACGACCCAATTTGATGATGTCATGCTCCTGCAACGCGTAACGTTTGTTCGGTAATGCTCGAACCACAAGCCAAAGACGCTGTGGAACAAGAGAATGACCAGGCAAACGCTCCGCAGGGGTCAATGTGTACTCACCAGGACGGCGAGAAACTACACTTAAAAGATGGTCACGCTCGCCACTGAGACCTTCAGCAGGAAAAGGTAGCGTAGTTACCGGTGACACATTGGATTCAGAACGTAATAAACGGAATCCATGTGATGTAGCAAAATGACGCTCAGTCAGTTGCTTGGGGTCTTGAGTTTCGTAGTCGAACAAGTCGTGGCTGTCGCGGGTCCAAGTCCTGGTGCAGACGCGGAGCATAGGGCCGACGAAATCGCCACCGGCAACATACATCATGACATCACAATTCTAGTTGACGACACAACCCCAAAAAATGCCATCCACTTATGAAACCAAAGATGGTCTGAAGTAATATTAATAATGAAAATGATGAAATATATATAATATGAACCCTGCAATCGATGAATATCAAGCAGCGCGAAGTGTTCAACGAGCTGCCATAACCAAGCGAAGCGGAAATAAAAACAAAAATGGATATGCAATGTATGAAGGCACTGCACGACTTCGCGCTAAATTTTTACACATGTGCCAACAGCGCACAATACAAAAAATTAGCGAACCATCCTGGTAACATAACTATCAAATAACAACAAAGTTAACTTTTCATAACAGCAACGTGACAACAACTGCACTGGAACCCAAAAGTGATGAATTTTCCGCGAAACAACTGTACCACGTGCCACAGCGATTACGGCGCATGAAAAGATCGCAGTGAAACAACGATCAACAACAGGACGTGGTTGCATTCAACCAAGGGAGTGGAAACCAAGCGATATGTGAAATACGGAAACCACGGCCACTCGCACGCATAGTAAAAAATAAAGATACGAAAACGGCAAAGATTTAAAATCTAATCAAAACATGATCACATCCATTTAGCAACGGCCAGTATCTGCGAAGCGGGACCCTACGCTGTCACGTGCTACGTTACTTAGCAGCGAACCCCGACCGAGGATGAAGTCCACCGTGTGATCCACACGATACGCGCAAAACCATCACAACCCGAAATTCATAAAATTAAACACGAATATCATATGATGAGCTAAGAATCCACAGTCAAAGACAATTAAAACAAACAAATTCAATCGCCATACACGACGCACACATAAAAACATCCATAGTAACAAGGCTTACCTCAATAAAGAGTCTTTCAATCCAAACCGAAACGACGAAAACCGCGACATCAGAAGTTCCAGAATAACATAGACTGAACTAGTACAGTCATACACATCGATATACACCTTGCACGCGTTGCAGCATAACTGCAAAACGACATCGATGCAGAAAAGAGCAGAATCGAAACAAACCGAGACGAACCTGCTCCACACACAAATGTAACAATAATATACGATGCACAAATAGGGTTTACAGTACAATGCGCCACAGATGAAACAAGCCTCACCTGGAACACAACACTATCAGCACAACGTGAGGTAACGCACTAGCAACAAAACATACAAATTATATATATGTGATGAGGAAATCACTTGTGCTTTTCATGTAAGTGCTCTAATGTTGCATACGGAATCACAAGAACTGTAAAAGGTCACATGCACCGACGCAAATCAACTTGGTGAACTACAAAATTTACATGAAATTTAATAAGTAGGGCCAATACAAGACGTCTAGCACCATCTAAGCTGACTGGTGGTACAATGGATCTCCACGGATCCATATGAGTAGCCCATAATTTCGCTAGAGGCACTTCTTTGACAACAACACTAACTCTACATAACAGTGTAAGACGTTACATGAGCGTCGTACACTGTGCTAGGAATAGTCAACAGTAACCAGATAACGACAAAGCTGAACTTAAAGGGAAATGGCGATGCTGGGAACGATAAAACGGTAAAAAAAACATATGTTGTTACGTCAGAAACGACGTGATAACGCTATTATCGAAAGATAAAGGACAACCAGCGAGGTAAATCACGTTGCTGCGTTGCTCTTTTATGCAAATAAACCCAGAGATTGATGAAAAGATCGCCATTTCTTCAAAAGCAGCTCTTAACATAAAGCGTTACTTATAGGCAGATGCACAACATTCACGCAGGCAAACATCATAACGCAAACGAGAGCATCGTTTGTTGATGTGACTCGTAGTCACTGGGCCATAATTGGAAAATAGCTAATGGCCGTTGTCAGAGCAACGGTAATACACTCACTAAACTCGACGATATGTCGATGTGGACGCACAGACAGTGCTGTCCAAATATTAAAAACGAATCAAACCGCAGAGGTAGGGATGTAACCTTGCTAACACCGGTTATGACCTATTTAAAATGCTTATTTCAAGACCCCCATCCCACGGAATGCCACAGCGATGCCTGGCATCGATATTGGACAGCAATGAAGTAGCCATTGCACATATGTATATTTAAATTTTATTGTTGCAGTTTAGTTTTAGTGGAAATTTTACTACCAAACAACAGCGCTTGGAAACAAACATAACACACATAGGATTGTATGCTCCAACAAAGAAAACTGATAATACCCTGAATCTACGCATATATCGTGAAAAATAGTGTACAGGTGTGTGGTAAAAGGGTGGTCATACACGAAAACACCAATCGTCCTAATACACTATCCAGAAAGATTATCGCGCTAGCAACATAAATAAATCCCAATAAAACGCAACAGACATCCTATAAACAAGGAGGATACGCAAAATAAACGATATTATAAGCAATTTGGAAGGATAAGGTTCCAGACGGATGGAAATCCGGATCACGGGATACTCTAAGATGTCAACTTGGATTTAAATAAAAAGCTCCAGTACACACATATCATGCAGAACTCTAACAATGTTGTCATGTCGCTCCTTGGAGCAGGGGCACTGGGAGTTGCTATCGTATATGCAGCTTCAAGGTCACCAAGAATCAGAAGGTTCCTAGTGAAATGTGGGATATACAACAGCCACCCATTAGCAGACACCCTTGAACCACATATGAGGAGAGTAGCAAGGGCCATGGAGCATATAAATATACTATCAGTAGACGATTTATCAAACCAACAAATCACATGCCTCATGGAACTTGCAAAATTTTTCAAAGAAAAAATATCGCAAAAACAAAACTGCCAGTTACTAACAAATAATATTATGGTCACACTCTTCCATGAACCAAGCACAAGAACGAGATGTTCATTCGAGGCAGCAATGATGAGACTCGGAGGGAAAGTAATATCAATCTCAGATCCATCAACATCATCAGCATCAAAGGGGGAAACGGAAGAGGACTCTGTGAAAGTACTCTCATCATATGCAGACGTAGTAGTCATGAGACATTCACAAAAGGGTGTCATGCAAAGGGTAAAGGAACATGTAAAAGTACCATTGATCAATGCCGGAGATGGTTGTGGTGAACACCCAAGCCAGGCCCTACTAGACCTATACACAATATCCACATACTTCCCAGTATTAGACAAAGAAACGGAACAATCTCCATTCACAATATGCTTTGTAGGTGATCTGAAAAATGGTAGAACGGCACACTCACTCGCAAAACTACTAAGCAGGTTTAACGTAATCATGAGATATGTCGCACCAACGCAATTACAAATGCCAACAGAAATACAAAGGGAAGTAGAAATCAACTTCGCAAAATATGTAAGTTAACAAATTTTTTAAATGATAACAAGATGCAGAATATACCCGACCTGCCATTCCCGAGGCAAACCAGCTTCAGCAAACTAGAAGATGCCTGCGAAGGAACAGATGTCATATACGTTACAAGGCTGCAGAAGGAAAGGATGGATGAAAAGGGGGTAAAAGAAGTCGCAGGATCATATGGAATTGAAAAAACACTTCTCTCGAAATTGATGAAACATGTTAAAATCATGCACCCACTACCAAGAATAGATGAACTGCCGCAAGAAATAGATAATGATGAAAGAGCGATATATTTTGAACAAGCAGAAAATGGCCTATACGTGAGAATGGCAATGCTATACCTCATACTACGTTAGAGTAGTGGCACCATTAGCTGCGCAACACACAGACACACAAATTAACTATTAAATAACGTAGAACCGTATTTATATACCGTCATGGTTGGCTAGTTGCGAACTTTTAGCAGCATAGAAAATCGATGCATCTCAACAGCGCGACAACAGTGGGTGTCGAAAGTAGAAGAAAGAACACATTTTGACGCTATAAAGTGGCATTCGATAGATAGGTGGATTTTAGTGTAACGAAAAACTGAGGAGAAGCTAACGGTGAAGCCACTATAACACGACTTCAGAGGAAAAGAGTCGACACACCTCGCACGAAAATGGAAAACGACTGAAGTACAAAATAAACAACCGCAAAAATGACAAACAAATCATTAGCCCTCGCCTTTATTGGCCGTATAGGGCTGGAAAATCTGAAGGACCCAGGGATGCTAGCAGCAGTCAAGGACGCTCTTACCGGAATCCAAGGAGAAATGGAAGATAATAGGTGGGTCAATACAGCCCTAAATGAACACAAAGAGGACGATTGGGGGCGACAAAACGAGGCTGATGTAACCATACCCTCTCCTAATCTTCGTAGCAAACCAGCGGCCAAAAATCATGCTAACGTGACAGAAGTAGAAATGCTTCTGCAAATATTACAAGAAAGGGAACAAGCTGAAGAGGATAGAACAGGAAATATAATGAGCGCCAGGCAATTTAGGAACACAAATTTACTACTAGCTGCAAGGGAACTGATTATACAGGCAAAAGATAAAACGGCATGGACATCAATACTAGAAAGAGATCAAGATGAAAACGAAAAGGTACAATGGGAGGGAATGACAAGGTTAATTGCCCTTATAGTATTGACTATGACAATGGAAAAGGGAAATGCCACGGATAACTCAATGGTTGTAGCACTGCTGTCGAACCACATCAAAAACGCATTCAGGTACAGCTTCCAATCACCGAAAAGTGATCTCTGCCAAGTGGAACATCCGGAATGGGCTATGCAGTATCTCAAAGATGTTGTCAAACGATACCAAACCATCTTTAAACTTATTAAACAAGAAATTAACAGTAACACGAATGAACTGTTCGATGCACTCATACCAGGTTCAGGAAGGGTCATACCAGAAGAAAACAAACGAAAGTTGAGAGATGGCTTTCGAACAATATGTTCAGAATTCCAACATAGCAATTTTGTCCGAAAATGGATGCTAGCTATAGCTAAGGAGGCAAGGACATTTGTATTCAGCAGATTACCACTGTTGATATACGAATACAAAACTGTACCCTCAAACAAACTGCTGAACATCTACCAAGTTACAAACATCACACGTACAGCAAGCCCACAAACAAAATTGAACGTCTCACGCACACTTTTCGACAACGAACGGAGGGCAAATGTTATGTACAACCTATTAAGGGCAATAATGGAACTATCGGCTCTATTTAGAACCGTTGATCAAGCTCCAGCTTATGAAGTTTTCGCGGATTTCGATCAAAATAACATGGTGCCATGTTTAGGACTCAAGTTTGATCCAGAAAAAAATATATCGCAGTTTGAACTCAACTATGATCATGGCGAAATATGCGGTGCATTAGATGTACTAATCTCCCTAGAAAACACGACAGCAAAAAAAATTACGAAAAACCTGCTCAATGAGGAAAATATCATGGAAAGTATAAGGTGTAACAACATGACCCAAAATAGGTGGTTCCTACAGGACAGCGGATATATTACTCAACCCCTGCAAACGCTCATTGCGCTGCTCAAAATTTTCGACGAGAGGTGTAAATGTTTGGAAACAACAGAAAGCCGAAGCAAATTCACAAATAAAGTTATCGCACCCATTGTTAACTCATACATAGAGTATATCAAAGGAAAGTGGAATGCAGAAGATGATGTATTCAGATCGTGCAGCTTGACGGCATTCCTAGTCGATGCCACGGCACTGTTACACGAATTCTTGCTCAAATATCCATACACGCAGTACATGTCTCAAGCTCAGGCAACAGTGGAAAGGGTATTGAATAGGATGATATCTATCATAGGGGACTGTGTATACGGCCTTATAGAGAAACCCTTTGGTCATATACACGACAGACATGTGCATGTCGTGCAATACATCAAGCAAAAGTTCATACAAATGGCAGTGCAGTGCAGCGTCAAATCGTACAAACAGATGCTTAACTCATGCGTGGAAAGTGTAGAGAAGAGGCTACTAGCCGTACTCATACCGCAAAGGGTGAATAAAATCATACTCGATAACAAGGCACACATCGAAATGGCCATTGATAACTGGTAAGACAAAGACCACCAGTTTAAAAACATAATTGCAGTGAAATGCTATACCACGAAATCAGGGAACTTACCGACAGCACGTATTGCCCAGAAGGGATGCAAGTTATTGAGGTAGGTCCCAGCAGACATATATCATTCATGATCAGGACGTTAAAACAATGCTTGCCACGAATGAGGAAGATCTTATTGAAGCAGTTCAAACGATTCAACAGTCAATGTCAATAGAATCTGTCTTCAAAAATACAAACACGGGCGTGAAATCTCAACAGAGGAGCAGTAGGCAGCTCGACAACGTCGAAACACCTGCCTCCACCCTAGGATTGCGAATGTAAGTAAAATTCACAACTAAATGCACAATATCTTTCACAGAATAGAAAGCGGTAGCGTCGAATTTGAAAACACCGATACAATATTCGATGATATACTAAGACTTAACGACATGGACGATAAAGAAGATTCGCCGACTGCCAAACATGAAGACGCAATTTTGCAGAAAACGAATGCTACGAAGGAACAAATAGTTGTTCAACAGGTCAAGCAAACGCTGAAGGTACGTTGTGCCCAAAAATACGGTCAAGGAACTTCGTAGGTGCAAAAGCTGGACATAAAACAAATATATTCGCTAGCACTGCACGTGCTGCATGCCCAAATGGAACAAGAACAATTTAAAACACTGATAAATTAATCGTTATACGGCATATTATGCCGAAATGACCTTGCACATGGGCAGAGCCGTTCCTCACGTCGTAGGCAACTTCCACACATTGGTCTATATACGCGGTAAGATTATCGAAACAGCTATGTGTAAGCTCATACAGTCTCGGTTAATGATCAACTCGCCGCCTGTGCGACGAATGCGGTCAACGTGCTGACCAGACTCAACGAAAGGGCAAGCAGACAGCAGAGACACAAAGAAACCCATGAACAACCATCAGATAGTGATGAGAGTGATGAAAAGCAAGGATATCAAGAAAAGAGGTCGAATAGAGATCACCTACACCTCTCACTCTGCAAGCCTATGTACCTAAAGAGACAGTTTATCAGGCCGTTCAAGGACAGAATAGAAGAGGCACTAAAACATGTCAAACCGTAAGTACGCCAACATGTAACAACATGACCATACTCTTCAGATTCTACCTCATCCTGGATAAAAATATCGCAGTATGCGCCAACGAAGAACATAACAGCTTCTTCGCAGTGCTACCGGTGGAACAACAGTGCAACTTACGATCGGTAGGTAACCTTACAGACATTTGATAATTAACAGATACTACCGCTGATCGATATCGTGGACGATGTTGCACAAATATTTGGATATCCCAAGTATTACGAGCAAAGGCAGCCACATGTATCACTGGCGGTGACCGGGGTAAGGGCAATCACAATATCAAAGATACATCTCTTATGCAGAAACTCACAGATGTAATGAATCAATTGTATAAAAATCAGCCAAATATTAATGAAGAACACTACTCCTCCCATCACTGGATGAACGTTCAAAATTGCCTCGACAAAGTCGAACAAATTGAGCGGGAAAAGGAACAACATGCGCTTAGTCAATCGAAAGACGATGCTGATAGTGACATTGAACAGTGCCCTGAACAATCGGCAGAAACCGTGGTACAATATACTATAAACGAGGATGTGATGAAAACGTATACGAAAGATGACACCTTACAAGACAACGAACCAATATGTATCTACGTGGAAAAAATACATGTACTAATTGGGGCGCAAGAAACTGCAATACAGCTGCGCAATGTATGATATACGTATTCATCAGTGCTACCCTTACGCATTCGACAAGGTAGAGAGCAGGGGACCCAGGAAGTTAAATTTTAAATTGCAGACAACGAACTGAGTATGATTTACGTAGCGAATGAAAATCATTAACACCTGCTAAGAGACAGATATAGAGTAAGGTGCAGCCAACAGGTGTGTATAGAAATTCGTAAGAAATTGGATCAGCTCGGAAGGTGCCCACGAAAACAAAGAAAACTAACATTTAAGAATTCATGCGATAATGTTATTAAGAGACTACTGTCTCGCAGCTGTGTAACAACAATCTATGACGATGCATCATCGAGGGCCTCGTTGATCATGGTCATCAAAGAACCGACGTCAACCAAACCCCGAACCTGCTTCACCAAATTGCCGCGGCTGTACAACAAAATGGTTGGCAACGCCGTTATCTCGTACGATGCACACAACTCAGCGTTCTCGTCAACATCGATTGGGTAAATCACAAGTTTACCAGGCTTGTAACGACTCTCGATTATGCGCTGAAAGTAAAATCAGTGGGCAAATGGTACAAAGACAGCATACAAAGAAACATAACAACCAAAGAGAAACCTATATGACGCCAAATATTACTCTTGTAGAAACGTCAGAAACAGAAAAGGGTACATCTAGTGTGCCGCACTCACCAAGTTGGCCTTCATCGCATCACAAGGACGACACCTATAATTCATGAAAACAAGGATAGACATATTAACATACCATGTAGCGTAGAAGTCAACGAGAAGAACGCCTCCAGATGTCTTGTTTGCCTCTATAAGCTGAAGCCAACCATTAAGACAGTAACGCAAGCATACACACCTCGTCGAGAGATCCGGAACCGGACTTGTCGCCGCCACCTCCTCCAAACAAACCAAAGCTACTTACGTTGTTTCCAACGTTGCTTGAGGCACGGTTACCGCTAACACCGACGCCGTAACTGCGAATGAATCCCACGCGATCATCTCGACGAGCTGATATATTATCAGCAGACAAAACTTCATTGGACGCGTTTGTTGTTCCAGAAGAATAACCATAAGGGCAATATAGCGGGAAGTTCACGTATGCCTTGGATGAGGTAGCAGTAGAAGGTTCAGCAGCGAGGACGGATTCCCAATTATTTAAACCAGCATGAAGAGATATAGGTACATCATATTTTTGCTGGTCCAAAGGGGCCGAATTATAGGCGGAATCGTCTGTCCAATCAACCTTAGAGTATTCCTCTATGCAGTTGACAAAAACACATATACAAAAAAGGGCCAAGACAGCACGCCGCATCAGCGGCACAAGTAGACCCATTTTAGACTAGAAATTATAAGTCATGTACAGTAAAAATAGTTGCGGTAGAACGCAGCAGGGGGCAACCGTAACGCATCATGCCCCGACAATCGTAGGCAACAAGACACCGTCCAGAAGAATACTCAATGACGGCCTGTAATCCCTGAGAAAAGGTTATAATATAAACAAAATCACACACCTCTGAATGTATGCAGCCACTGACGCTTAGCAGTACGAAGAGACAATGTAATAGGATTGCGGAATCCCTGACGCTTAAACACAGACTGCTGCACATAACAATACACAGCACTGGCACCGAATCCAAACAGATGCGCAGCCCATGCTATGTTACGTAAACGGCTCCCAAAGAACAAAAAGTACAAATTAGTCAAAACGAACAACTGACACACCTGCAATATGCTCACCTGTAAACCAGGAATCGGAAAAACGGTACGAAAGTAACTATTAGGAAACGTAGATGCCAACAAATACAGTAGACCCGATATTGCGCCAGAAGCACCAAAAACAGGGGTGCTATACAAGTAGACATGACCCAAACTTGAACAGATACCTGATAGCAACAGAACACCCATAATGTCAGACATTTGCACTCCATCCAGACGACGCCTAGAACGCTTTGAAGGCCAAAACATGCTCTCGATACTCGATGAAATAGAACCAAAAAAACGGTCTATAGATGAAACCGCAAATTGAGACGTGCCGGGCGGAGACATCTGACGTGAAAACGTGTTAATCAACTGGTGAAACATCATACAGTTGAAAAAAAAATGTAAGGGGGAAGAATGACTAATAGCTGCGACGTGATATATATATAATATACATTGAAACATACCGCATGTTAAAAGAGTGTAGCAACGATTCAACCTAAGTGAATCACGGGACGCCAAAAAGTGACGACGAAGGAAATGAGATAACCAAGGGTTACGCATACGGTCGCCCAGAATCCAAAGGCCGAGAACAGTGCCACAACAAAGCATGAACAAATTACCAAAGCCACTCGGGGACACGCTGTTCAGAAACGGCAACGGGGACATCGACAACCAGGATAAAGCGCCACCTCCATCATTCGGTGACTCCGAGTTGCGAGATGACTGGGACCTTTTATAACGGTCACGAGAGCCGGAGGAGGAGGAAGCAAACCTCGAGGGGGAAAGATGATCATCAGCATTCACACGACCACCATTAGCAGGTCCGAAGTCAATGGGAATATCCAGACTGACGTAATGGTCCTCATAATTGCCCTGGGAATAGCTATAATCCTCATCAAGGCTTGGACTTAAGTAATACTCATCGTCGCGAGAGGTGGAACTGTCTCGAGAGCGGCATAAGGTAAAAGCAGCGCTGCCAACAAATGCGATACCATTGTAAGAACCTCCAACAAACGAGCTACCGGCTCGCCAATAGGACTTCCACGATCCTTCTGAAGACGGGATGCTGGAACAAAAGCGCAAACGCCTAGCCAGGATACGATCGCGCAAAACTGAAGCCGAATGATGACAACATGTGGGACCCGAACGTCTCGTAGCTATTGATGCCACTATAGGGTCGAGTCTGAGGGATGAAAATCGGCGCCGCGTAATGGCGCGCATAGGGACGGTTACCGTCATATCCTACATACACATATACACACCATCAATCACGATGATCCGTGCCGCTGGACTAACGTACGCTATGGTAACATAATTGAAGCAATTATAATAACCCTAAAAAGAACTATAGTGAAAATAGGGATGTGTTATTTCAGACTGAATCCAACGCGATCGTGTACCACGGCACTACGCCTGTACAACGATAACGGCTTACAGCACATATTACACCGCAGTAGTACGATACTGTGGCTGTTTGTTACGTGGAAGAATAACTTTAACACGAAGGAAACTCAGAATTTAACAAAATAGGAGCGAAGCAATGCGCTCCGCGAATACTTCTAAAAACGAAGTTTACCATACGTTTATTAAAATTATATACATGTTGATGATACGATAAGAAATTGTACTCACGACAAGCACTGTATCTTCGACCAAAGTTCATGACCCAACCTTGGAGTCAAGGTCAGCCTTCTAAACAATATTACAAAAACAACGTTAATGTCTTACCACAGCTCGTACATTGTACAGTTTAGAATCCAGAGGATACAAAAATAAGAAGAAAAAGAAACCGATCACCGCATAACTCTGGAGAAAAGCGGGAGTCTGTAACAAAAATTAGCGGCATAAACACGAATCATACAATAAAGGATATGCTAAACATACGATACTATGAAAAATGGAAATAGATAACCTGTTGCAGCTTAACATACCGTATAAACCCAAAAGGGACCTAATAGTCTCCTAAAGCCACGACCCTCGCAATCGTGCTTAGTGTAATGGCGCACGCACTGATAAGATGCCGGAAAACGGCGCGTAGCCGTATGGGCACGGAAAATAGATCGCAAACCGCCGGGAAGCATTGTGTAAAACACACTATATGGCGGGACCATAACTGTAGATTACCGACACTATTGTGCCGCGGGCCCAAGTAGACACACAGATTGGCAACCTACTAAGACAATACAACAAGAAAATCGATTAATATAATAAAATAATATAGATGTAATTAAAATGTTGGTTGACGCCAGTCCAATTCCTTGCTATAGCGACTGGTCCAGTAACGTGAAATGTGACGGTCTGGCACATACTTATATTTATGAGACTCGTACCAAATGCTGTGGGTACGCTCGCGGTCAACGGTTTCCTGCTGAAATGCGTCGTCCGGGTCCGCAGTCTGCTTCTTAAGCCATTGGTTGAAGTCATAGTCACCCTCATCCCAGTCGTATGCGAAACGGTGGGACCCAGGTGACGTACGCACAGGCTCATCGACTATACCAACACCGACATACACATTACCAGCAGGGCCCAGAATTACATAATCACGGTCGTTCTCACGACGGCGCACAATCTCCTTGTCGCTCTTGTCTAACAATCTGCAAAAGTTTATAGAACGTTGTATATACTCAGGAGATTCGCGGTACAAAGGACCCACAATGCTGCGGTTGTACTCGCTACAAATAAACATATAAATCCTATATGGCAGACACCATCCAGGGGGAGCCACTAACTTAAGGGAGCAAAATCCCTCCGTAGAACTTGCGTTACCCTCAGGATAAAACCACAGCTGGAGAGGCTCAACGCCGCCTAAGTTGAAAACGGGAGAACGCAATGGCTGCCCGTAACGCTTGGGATGCTTCTTACACAGTAAGGGAACCCAATATATTGGCCAGGCATACTGCATACCTGCAGATATAGCATACGGATATGCATCAGGAGAACCGATGAACTGAATGTCGAAATAACTGTCATGGGTTCGATCCGACTCGCCGAAACCACCCTCAGCAAACGTTCTGAGACATGTTATACAATTCAAAAATAAAATACCTTTTGAAAAAATTCCGGTCATGGTAAGTAGGCAGAGGTTGCTCCCACTCTATAGAATCAACAAACTCCTTTGTTATGTTGTTGCCAGTCTCCCTGTGACCCCGCAAAATGTCGTCGGCAGGGTCAACATCCATCTCCCAACGAAGCCGCTGCAAACGACCTAAGAAATAATATAAAGAAAATCCAGCGAACATACCACAATCTTGGCGACGTTGAAGCTCTCTGCCACGGCCTGTACGATGAGCAGGATTAACAGGGTCTATGTAAGACGGGAATGCCGTCGGCTGCGATAACACGCTGTGCAGCATCTCACGCTCACGCTTCGCATCAGATGGAATATTTATGTCAACATCCTCTAAATAGGGCTTCTTCATCACTTTCCCATCAGGTGTCTCGTAATATTCATTGTCACCCACCTCGTCGTAGAGATCAATCATAGCCTCAGTAGCATTAACATAACGAGGCGTCTCCGAATCCGATATCAAATCATAGATCGAGCTTAACAAAGGATCGGGGAAATGTGGCTTCATGCCACAATCGTACTCGGATAAAGGCTTGCCAGCTTTGGGGTTCACACCTTCAAAGTCGTACGATGACATCTCGCGAGGGATCGGAAGACGCCAATTGGTGTAGTCTCCATTGAATGCATTACCATCAATAACATACAACGATCTAGCAGCCTTCTCCTTTTGGGACGCAAAGTGCTCGTCCATAGTATCCCGCAAATGCTTCTGGACATTCTTGTGAGTGATGTTGAAGTAGCGGTACAGACTGCACTTCTTACCCAACGACAAGTCAAAAAGCTCATCCCTGTTCAACGAAAGATCCTTCAACAACCTATAGTTATGTTCTTCATCAAGTGCATGAAGGTGATAACGCCTCCAATTAAACGCAGACGAGCGCCTCGCATCTACACGACCAACACAGGAAATAAAACCAAATGATATTGCCCAGGGGGGTCGGATATTGCGATTCTCACCTCTGTATGGCTTAGATACCACATTGTGTACAATTATTGACCCAGTACAAGGCGCCGTTGCTGCGTTAATGTACAGAAGGCGGGGTTGAAGCGGCCTTGAGCATCCAGGGAGAAAGTTAGAAACCCTCACGCTATAACTTTCACGTAAACCATACCAAAGCAACGCTATTGCACTTAATACAGTATATGGAATGACATAACTAAGGGAAATACTGCAACGACGACAGTAGCGCGAGAACATTACAGGAATCCTTCCTGATAAAATCACGCGCTACGAGGGGCAAGTAATTACCATGGAGGTTGTATATGGGTTTTAATCTATATTATTATGATATCTGCGTTATTATTATTAGAAATTGGGGGAAGATAATGTCTTTATCCTCGTTGCTTCGGTACAGGTCCACCATAACACACACGAGAAGAAAGGAATTGCTTACACAGTAACACGTGCATAGAATACTGGTGCTGTAATTGATACTAACGCATGTGCTAAAAGCTTCAAGGTGTGTCAATGCCTCATGCAACCCCAATCAACTGAAATAATTCGCTTTGCACATTAAGGCCTAGACAAAGGCATACAGATATTATTCACGCTGCAAATGCGTCACCGAACACATAAAGGCTCGTAACATGAGTGGCGGTGGTACGGCATGGCGCTAACAGCACACTGTGCGCGGCGCAGTAAGCCACTTCATGTGGAAAAGTGGACATGGACTCTGCGATGTAACTGCAGGAAGTGTGCATATAGGCTGAGATCAAGGTGGTATGAGCCTGAATCCACTGCATTCTAAGCACAATAACGCATGGCATGACGCAATCCACTCACCTAAAACCTAGTGCACTGAATATATGTTTCAGTTCATAAAATTACACGTGACACATCATGTTCAAGTGAAATATATAAGTACATCACTCGACATAAAGAATCAACGCGTGCAAAGTTTAATAATACCGAAAAGCAAAACAAGAAGCTAATAATTGCGAAATCTGGTAAGAAATCGTAATTATTTACAAGAGAAAAAAAAACAATATCATCCCGTCTGATCCACACAAGATTACCACCAATTCAAGAAAAATGATGCAAAACAACGAAGAACAAGCCCCAATGGTCCAGGGAACTGTAGAACCTACGGCGTTCCAAAACAATGGGCAAACGTACTTTGTACAGGAAAATGGAAGCACGATGCCACCAGGAGACCTAACAGGATTTCTGCAGCCAACGCCATTCACTCCCCGGTACACGCAGCAAAAGCTGGTGAAAAAAAGCAAGAGCAAGTTTCCTGCAAACATCTGCTGCTGTTGCTGCTGCGGGGAGACAGAAGAAATCAGCGCATTGCAAAGCAACTTGATTGGCGAGGCAAATAGGTCCATCATCCTTAAGCCAATCAGAAGAGAACGTATTGTAGAAGTCATGAAAGAAGAGATACAGGAAAGAGTTATCAATGTGCCTCAAATACAATACGTTGATAAATACGTAGAAGTCCCCAAACCTGTATTCAAGTATAAGATTAAAGAAGTGAAGAGAGCAGTTGTCGTAGAAAAAATCAAAAGAGTACCCAAAATTGTTGAAGAAGAGAAAATTATAGAAGTTCCAGAAATCAGATACGTTGAAAAGGAAGTGGAAGTGCCACATATTGTCAAAAAAGAAAAAATTGTTGAAGTACCCCTACCGATAGTTAAAGAACGTAGGATACCTGTATTAAGACTACGCAAAGATGAGAAATTCCAAGAAGTGGACAATATTAATTATGACGAAATGGAAGCAAACATCACATCAATAAGAAACGGGGCCGAAGCACCAAATAACACACCAATAAATGGAAATATGGAAGAAGTGAATTACCTAAATGATCAGAAGCAGCTCGAAAGTATTACGAAACAAATTGAGGCGGTGAAAATAACGGGGAATGAACGAAGCGATGAAGAAAAGGGGAAGGCAACAGCTGGAGACTCCATAGAAGTTCTCCGTAACCAAACGTCGCGTAGTTATGATGTCCCACATGATCAACATGCTAAAGAAATTGATAAATGGATTAAACATTTGAAAGATGCGAAACGAACGGCTGAGATTCATGAAAAGGAACTTGATCATTTCAGAATGCAACCCAGGGCTCCAAATCATATAGAGATATCCTTAGATAAACATACGCTGGAAGGCGAGAAGAACGTGTCGGGACCTACGGTAACAGAAGTACTCTCTGTCCGCGGTATCAGCAATCAAGACTCCTTCGAAGTACCCGATAACTATGGAGAACGATACGGCCTTGAAAGTATAATCAAAGATGGTATTGATGATGACTATGAAATCACTGAAGTTAAAGAAGTGGACGACATGGTGAGTATATACCCCAATATCGACGCATTGTCATTCAAGTCGATGCCAAACGATGGGCAGGCCAAATATCAAAACAAACAAGAGCACGAGACGCAAAACATGGAAGAGGAAAGACACAGTGCAACGAATGATAAAAATGCTGTGGAACAGAGAGAATCTACAACACATGTTAGGATTACCAAATAAAATGAAAAAATGACTCTCGTCATATCCTTAGGAGATCCCTACCTCCGTACCCCCGTACCCTGATAACAGCTCGAAAAGTCCCATACGAAATAATCACAGAATTTAATGGTCCCGATAATACATTTGGTAACGATGTTAAAGTAGCTAATTGTGTCTTTGAATGCTTTCATTTCGTCAACCTTATGACGGTAAACACACTTGGTGCTGTAACTCTAGTGGTACATGTTGCGAATCATTCACTCGTTGACAAACGGCTAAATACATTTCTTACGTCTATATTAAGTCATGGTAATAAAAGTATTGAGGCGACTAGCTTAGAATGAACGTATCGTGAACTAGACCTACTAAACAAACTCCTTGTGTTTTGTAGACAAGTATGCTAAAACATACCAAACACAACAAAAGTCGAATATGCACAAAACCAGACACCATCACCGTTACTCCTGATTATTGTACAGAAGAATGGTTTTGGGGTTGAATAAAGCTAATAAAATCAGTGTTTGAAGTAAATGTCGCCTAACGGGTCGTTGTTCCTTAAAGTGCATAGTGAGGAAGCAATAACTCCTTTTGAATTAGAACGAATACCAATCTAATAGACTTGTGGAGATTATTGAATAGAGTATGCTCCAGAATTACAATGGTTCTAAAACAGAAATGGCGACTGTAGACATGCGTGAAGAAGAACACGGCACAGCTTTCTAAGAAGGGTATTTATGACCCCAATAATGTTAATCTCAAGTCCTCAAAACTAAACTGTAATACGAAGGGATCTGAAATAGCCTATGTGACTTTGTGATGGAAAATAGAGTAGTAATTAATCAAGTGACCATTGGAATGTGTGTAGCATGGATACTCGACTTTTTTCTCCAGCTCCGGTACATATTTAAAGGCATTAAAACGCAAAGGGACATGTGGAAATTATGTAATTAGAATGACCAAGAAAAGGAAGAGACGGTTGGGTGAGCTACACCATATGGCAGGTAAAGGAGAGCCCTGAGATTCAGGGGAGCGCGTCGATGATCCTCAGTAAACCTATATGATATATATTAAAATATTCGGTCCAAAATTATAACAGAGAGGATCCTTAATGTGTTAACAACTGACCAAATGTGTCTACTATGATCGTAACTGTGTCCAGCAGTAAAGGTCCGTTTCACACGGATATGTAGCGTAGTCTCCGCTAAACATTGTATATGCACTATCCACATTGGATGGTTTGGAAATTGCCAGAAACTGTAGACCAGAGGTCGGCGGATGGAGCCAAGTTGTAAAATACAGCAAGCGCACATTCGGATGTCTATAAACGGACAAAACAAGGGTGGTGGTTGCGACCACTAGTAAGTACATATTGTAGTTTGGTCACGCTTTGTTGCAATGTCAAGTGACTCTGTGCCCAGCTCAACAGTCATCGACATCACGCCATGGAGCGACAGGAAAAAGTTCGATGCAGAAGTGCAGCATATACTGCTGCAATTCGAAAAGCCAAAGGAATGGGCTGATTTGATGAATTGCTTGCTCAAACTACATAGAAGTATACGACAGTCACCAATATGTGAAATCCCACAGAAGGAAACTATATGCAAGAGATTGGCGCAATGCCTTAATCCACAACTGCCAAGCGGTATACACGTCAGAGCTCTGGAGGTATATAGCTCAATATTGGAAAAAACCGGGCCAGAGGGGCTGGCGCAAAACCTGGCGCTCTTCAGTAGCGGGCTATTTCCGTTCTTCACCTATAGCTCGTCGTCAGTGAGGCCCATCTTTCTGAACCTCATAGAGCAATTCTATATACCGCTAGGGAAAAAATTGCTGCCGTGCCTCATAGGGTTACTAATTTGCATACTGCCAGGTTTGGAAGATGATAAGTCAGAGACCTATGAACAGGTCTACAAGGCGCTCGAACGCATCAGCGATTGTGTTTCCGAAAGGAGTTATATGCGCGCACTTTGGGTCATATTGCTCAATGCAAGCAAAATCAGGTTGTCTACCCTCACGGTCATCGCAAATAAACTGGCGCCAGGATTGCCAATGCTACCGCCAGAAAGAGTGGAAATATTAGTACCGCACAGGCACGTATTAGTGATGAAAAGTTTGGAAGCGACCACTGAAGATGACTCCCTTTTAGTTCTCAGGGAAATGATCAACATGTTGATCAAACATTTCCCAATGAACTCCGACATTCTCAGTGATGTAGACAAATCCGTCTTGTGCAGACAATGCCTCAAACTACTGACAAAAAGGAACTGGTCGCTCAATAGGCGGTTGTATCACTGGATCTTCAACGCTACCAACGATTTCAATACGTCCTCCGAGTCTCTGGATCTCACATATTTCACGAAGTATTCAAAGGACAATCTCATTGCAGCCATCAAAGACCTACTCATGGCCAAGGGGAAAAACCTAGATGAAGTGTTGATACCTATTAAAATTATTGTTACATTCATCACGGATGCTGATCTTAAGGGGGTCTCCGATAAACTCATGCCTGAGCTCTGTATACCCATTCTGAAGTATATATGCAAAGAACATGAGGAAGAAGAATGGAGGGCAAATGTAATCGAGGGAACAAGACTAATATTCGACACAAGCCTTACACCGACGAGCGTCATATTCGAATCTATAGTAGATGAGTACAACGCGTGCGCTGCATCGACTTACGCAAACTGCTCCAGCATATGGCATGGCCTCCTGGAGCTGAGCAGCGTCTATCTGGACGAGGTTTGCCCGCAACTATACCTAGAAGATGTACTATGTGGGCTTTTCATGTTGATGAACAACGCTCTAGACCATCTTCACAGACTCAAAATCGAAAAGGACCTCACGATTATCAACCATGTAATCATGTATGTATCAACCATATTCTCAAGGATAGAGGCAATCATAAGGGGTGATGGCAATTCTATACCTTTTGATGATACCATAAAGTTGGAAGAGGATGAAGATAACAAATTGAACATGGTTGTGGAGTATCAAACTACGTGCAACACATACATATCCAGATATTTGGACACTTTGTACACCGACGCGCTTACGTATTTCGAAAAACGTACAGATCAGCTATCAGCCTACGAAGTCAACACCGTAGATGCCCTAAATCACCTGGCTGTTCGATTTGTTGCTCTTGATGGATGGATGGCCATTGTTCCACTGACAAAGGGGTTCAGAGAATCTAAGACGTATATCGATTCGATAGAGGATATGGAGTTAGATACACTTAATGAAACTTATCTTCCGGATGCTGCTGGAGTGGAACTGACACCTTTGAACTCGTGCAGACTACCAATGTTGTTCAGAAGCGATTCGGAGTTGTCAAGAAACAGCGAAATGACGCCACCAAATTTCAAAGTAACGAAGAGTAGGTGTGCGTTTAAGTTGGAAAACTGGATGGAGGCATTACTCAACTGTACTATTTCCAATAACGCACAACTATTTTGCAGAGGGATTAGAACATTCATAGAAATCCTTAGGTTACCCAACAAACGAGAGATGTATACATACGTCGAAACAGATGGCGAACATGTGCGGAGTATCGTTGAAAGGTTGTGGAACTCTCTTGACGATACCCACGCAGCAAACCATTCAGAAATAGTGTTACTACTGATACAATTTAACACAACCATGCCTCTTTCGAGAATAGAAACAGAAAAAATCATTGTGAAAGATCTCACAAGTTTGTACACGGATGTCAAAGTTGCTGCGATGCTAAGGTTTGGTGTACTCTGGAGGTATGGTTACATACATGCGCCAGATGAAGAACTGTTTCCAGAAGCACTGGGTTGTATATTGGATAACGTAGAGGAAGCTGATCCAAAGTTGAGGTACTATTCCTGCTCATTTCTCTCTGAATCAGTTGCAATATTGCCAAACCTCATTAATCCCATTCTACGAGCACTCGTGTCATTCGATAAGGTCAACCCTGCATCTTACAGCACTCATATTGTGGACGTTTTAAGGAAGTTCCGCCATTTATCGTATATTGTAAGTCGTGAAGGTCCCATGTTACTTGATTTGATGCAACGGTGCCAAGCGCCGCCGCAACTCATTGAGCTTGTTCAAGGGGAAGATCTATATAGCACTATGCTTGGGGTCACGGAGTCAAGTCAAGGAGTGAAAACGTGTGGCGTTGTAGGTGACGGGACGAACAATTCCCAGCCGAAAAATGAAGACAATACGCCGGTGGAGAGTAAGCGCTTAGAACCTCTTGTGGCTTTTCCCGTACTCAGAGATCCAAGACGTATTTCATATGAAGACGTATGTATATATGATTACGTAGATCTCATAGTGGTACTCACATTGAAGTATATATGTCTAGATGTGGATGTTTCCGCATTGCTAAATTTCACGACATTTGAAGGATTGGTGCAATACGCAAATGGGACTACGGAACATCAACTGGAAAGGACGCACATGTCACACGAAAATACTATGTTGTTCAGATGTACAGCCATAGATTTCATGAAATTATTCTTGTCCACCATTCAACCCACAAGCAGGGCGAAAGAGGTGGCGTGTCTGATATCGAGACCATTACTGTTTGTGTTGTACCATTTCCACTTGAAGGATGAGGCGATCATTCAGACTCAACTGTTGTACTTGCTTAAAGTTGTAGTGGACAGGTGTCATGTAGAGGCGCAGTCTGTTAGTGAAATCACAACTGCTCTCATAGAATCCACTAAGCAACTCTCTAGGCAAACGTCTATTCAAAACAAAGGGAATAAATCTAAACCATCCGAAGTAGAATCGCCATCGGTGAAGTCTGAAGATAGTGAAGCGGGAAGGGTTGATTTAGCTGAAGTAGAGCGAAAAGAGATGGTTGGGAGGTCGACGGTTGGCGGTCAAGAAAGTAAGAATTGGCGGAAGTACATCACGGACGTACCGAATAACACCATGATGGCACCAACGGATGCGGCATCGATGCAGGAATACTATGCACGGGATGCGATAGGTGGCGAGCGTAGGGATCTGTTTGATAAGAAATGCTGTATACTATCCAGGATGTATATAATCAATCTAGTCGCAGTGAAACAACAACATGTAGGCAAACTTAAAAAACTCTCGGACGATCCGTTTTTCGGGGAAATTTTGGAATCATGTATTCGAAACACTGCTAAATCAAGTAGAACACATCTGCTACAGTCATACATTGGGTTCTCATTACATTCGCTGAAGTACCTCACTGGATCGGATTCGATCAGATATTCAGCTGCTTTCATAACGCACTTCTGTACCCATCTCAGTCAAGGAAGAGAATGCATCAATATTGCTGCGGTTTCACAATATCTAAGGGGAATTTGTGTGATGCTGGGACATATAACCACTAAATTGGGAGACTTCAAAATGGATCTGAAGTCATCGGAAAGGTTCAACCACGAAAATTCCTTGCCACCCTGCAGTTTATCGTCTATTCTTAGCTTGACGACAACAGACCGAGAGCACAATGACGGAAGCGATTCTGGTAGGTCTCTATTCGGTTTTGGATCGAAGCAAAAGGGAAACGAGGCGACTATCAAGAACCCAATCAAATTTGAAATAGCACAAGTGGTGAGCATATGTATTGAATGCCTGCTCTGGGTGAAAACGCGAAACAATATTGGTACTGTAAATAGGGGGAGAGGATTGGCAGGTGGTGATACTGTGGTTGTTGAATCTCCACACGGAGATTCTATTGGATTCAAGGGTGATGGGAGCATTTCGCAATCTATCAGGCTAGACATCATCATGTCGATACAAAATATATACAATGAAATTTTGCAAGGGTTCAGATTATTATTCGAATTCCTGCCATATCACTTCACAGAAGGGTGCCTCATCCTTTGGGACAAGGCTGAAAACACACAAGTGTGTCGTGAGATGAAACTTGAACTGATGAGCTGTCTCAATGCCATCCCGCAGTTCTCGAGGCATAAAATGATCTCGTATATTATTGACATGCTAGAGCCCTTTGCAAAATCTTCAAAGTATAAGGTTATAAAGGGATATCAGCTACTCAGCAGCGATGTTAGGGATAACTCTGTATGTGAATTCATATATGCTCTAACAGACCTGCCTATGGCCGCCAAAAAGGACATAGAAGGGACTTTCGAAGTCATGAAGCGATATATAGGATTCGTGCTTAACAACCCAAGACAGCCAATGGTTTTGCTTTGGGCGTTCCAAACCATTAGTAACTTCGATAAGTCGCATCCAACAAAGAATGTCAATGTTATCGGAAAGCTAATGAAAAAGTGGCTAAGTGAACTCATGTATGGGTTGATATATCAGTGCGTTGGTTTGTACATGTATAAGGTCTGTACGTGGTTACCACCAAAGTTGTATGACCTCGAACCGCCACTGCCACCACATATATACATGATCAATAGCTACTACTTCGACCGAGTCAACCCGAAAAACTCCGTGTTGACTTGTGGTAGTTATACGGTGAAACACGACGCTACAAAATCCAATGGTGAAACAACAGCAGTCGATAGTCTTGATTGCCTCTGCAAAAACGCACTTGCGCAATTGGTCGTATTTAGCTACGAAACAGTGCAACTAAGCAGAAGAACGGCCGTGGCAAATATATTCTTTCATGTACTCTGCGACAACTTAGGGTCCTATATACTACCGATTTTGCAACAGAAAATGGACCAACCTCTAGACTACCGTTATCTGGTGCTCTTGTTGTTGCGCCATCTACCCTTTGAGCTTTATGAAGGGTCGTTGCAATGTATAAAGCGCGCAATAATAGACTACATCAACACAAGTGGCTTCTTCAAAACGGATCGCAGAGGGTTGAGATGTATAACAAAAATATTTCGTTTGGTAGCGGATGATGAATGCAAAGGCACCGTGGACAGACTCAGCAAGCTGGATATCTACACGTGCCCTCCTCACAGTTCGGTGTTCACAAGCAAGTCTATAGATATACAAGCGCGTATTAAATACCTTAAAAGGTTGGCATTTGTTCTCTATGCATGTCGCAATGATACTTTCGCGACACATATCGCAACCATCATAGAGAGGCTCACAGATAATTGTAAAGCTTATGATGATGACAATTTGAGAGCTAAAACATTGCTGGTTATGAGGGTCCTCCTTATTAAAGTGTCGCAGAAGTATCTGACGGTGCTATGGCCTGTTCTCCTTTCGGAACTTATAAAGGTGTTCGACAGAGAAAATAAGGCATTGGTCGGACATGACGCACTACAGAGTACTACCCCAATGGACAGACACAGTGCTACCGCTGAAACGGATCAGCCAACTGCTGTCAGCGCAGACTTGTCCCCGAGCAGATACACGCTCCTGAAAGAAGTATTGAAAATAATCGACGTCGCATACGCGCTCAGGTTGAACGATTTCCTCATCTATCAGTGGATGTTCTTAAACGATAGGGCCGACAATGATTACACAGAAAAACCAGATGACGTGGAAATGGATGCGTTCGAGTTCAAGCCTTTCCTTATGATCGTTGAGCAAAAATATCCAGAAGAGGTTAAAAGACACCTGCTCAACGACCAATACCTCAAAATGAAAAAATTCATAAGCGTATCAAGTGTTCAAGACACAGAATTTTTACAGACATTGCCTGCCGCCAGTGACCAGAGAAAAGTACTGGATAAACCATCAGAAGAGAAAGGGGAGGGGCAAACTGCCTTCAGGAACAGTCAAGATCCCACTGACAGAAGGAAGCATTTGCAGGAACTTATCGACCTGTCAATCGAAAACGAACTAATGGAAACGAGCAGTGACCTTAGGGACCAAGATGTTGAGCTCAATATTCACCAGATATGCAAAATGTACCGGAAGGCTGTATAATAGTTTACTAATTTTTTAATCAATTAGAATATTCACGGTAAAGCGTGTGCATAAATACCTGACACACCGTGAGGCGCGTACCTATGTCAAATGCTGGAATGGGACGCCGCAAGGTAGCAATTTGCTGCATATCGCACTCAAAATTTTAGAGAAGCGCCATAGGAGGGATGCCAAGTAGTACCCGGTCGGAAGGGCCTCCTCGGGGAGGTGGTGAACGGGAGCAGAAAGGAGAGCGAAAGCAAATACACAGAAGTGCCTTGCAAAATGAAACATCGCAAAATGCAAGGTACAACAGTACAGCAACTGGAACCATGGAGCAAGAAGATATCGCAAATGATACATCTATCACGGCGCTCGTGAAAAATGTGGTTAGACTTTATATCGCAGACTGTAAAGCTAGACCGGATCCGTTCGCAGCCAATATGGAAGTAAAAGTCGAGGAAGGCAGCGCCCCTGAGTATTCTCATTTGCAGCTCAACGGGATAGATGTTAGCGCTCTTGTCAATTTCTCGTTGGAGAGGGTACCGGAGTCCAAAAGAGCAGACTTGTTGGAGCTCAGGAGAGCTCTAGCCGATGCGGATGCCATGGGAATTGTTGTGCTAGTCAAGAGTGTATGTGCTATTATAGGCTATCAACAGCTTTTGACGCCTGAAGCACGAAAAAACTTCAATGATGAACACTTGCAGGACTGGATCAAATCACACGACGCCGAAGTATTCATGGACAAAAACTATGAAAGGATATATGCTAGGTGGAAAAACTTCCTAAAAAGGCAAACGCCACTCGGAACAAATCTATGCGACTACTTCTGCGGAGACTTTCTTAAATCAGTACTTATCATCAACGCAGACAGGGTTAGATCAGAACTCGAAAAAACGGTATTCAAGTATCACCCTGATATGATTATAACTCTATTGTGCAAGGAATGTGGTCTTACGGATGAACAGGCAAAAATCATAGGTACCATGAGCAGTGCCGATGGATACCAGCTTCAGTCATTATTGCCTTCCGAAACCGGATTAGGATTTCTACACCGAGATGCTGGAGGCGCGAAAGAGGAAGATCTAGGTATCATATCATTCGATTGTATTACAAATGATAGAGAACCAGGGCATCTGATAAAACTGGTCACCGTCAAAAATATATTCTCCAGGCAACTGCCAAAGATGCCTAGGGAATACATTGTTAGACTGGTGTTCGACAGAAACCACTACACATTTTGCTTGTTAAAGAAGGGAGAAGTTATTGGTGGTATTTGTTTTAGGCCATACTTTGAACAAAGGTTTGCAGAAATTGCATTTCTTGCTGTAAAGTCCACCGAACAAGTGAAAGGATATGGTACACGTATCATGAATCACCTCAAAGAGCATGTCAAAAAGTCGAATATTGAATATTTTTTAACATACGCAGACAATTTCGCCATAGGCTACTTCAGGAAACAGGGATTTTCGCAGAAAATCTCCATGCCCAAGGAACGTTGGTTCGGATACATCAAGGACTACGACGGAGGAACGCTGATGGAGTGTTACATATCGCCTAATATCAACTATCTTAGGTTGAGTGATATGCTGGGTAAACAAAAGGCCATTATATCACAGTGCATCGAGGCCATCAAACCACTGAAAGTATACAACGGGCTTAAGTTCTTCAAAGAGAATCCGGGGGCCACCCTAAACCCCAAAGACATACCAGGGCTTTTGGAGGCGGGCTGGACTGAAGAATCAGCAGCCACAAACAAACATGGAGGGGATGCATTTGCGTCGGCAGATGATCCTGAAGGTAAAAAACCACTCAAAACGTGTATATTGGATCTGTTGAATAACTTAGAGAAACAGCAAAGTTCGTGGCCCTTCAGAAAGCCCGTCAAGCAATCGGAGGCACCAGACTACTATGACATCATCAAGAACCCTACTGATATATCGACTATGAAGAGGAAGGCCAAAAATGGAGAATACAAAACGAAGGCCCAGTTCGGAGAAGAACTCAAGCGCATGTTCGACAACTGTAGAAGGTACAATACACCACATACTATTTACTACAAGTACGCAAACGAGCTGCAAGCTTTCATTTGGCCTCAATATGAGGGCATTCAAGAATGATTTCAAGCTTGACGTTTAACGTTACCATAAAGCGAAACCCGAGATAAACAATTTGTTTAAAGTATAATTTTACTAGTACGGTCTCTCAGAGCAGACTAATCTAATACCACCTTATCTCCAGGTGTGAAAGCGGGGAGTCCTCGATATGGGCAGTTAGCGCAACGGAAGGCGTCACCCAGGTAACAGTTACCGCAAGAAGATGTAGGTGCATCCACATCACCCTCCAAGGCACTAGCTTCAAGGCGTTCGCGCTCTGCGCGACCACAAGTGCAATTTGCGCATGCCCTGGGCTTCGTGCTGCACGATTCAGGTGCCGGTGCAGAAGGGACATAGCCATCCAACGAGGCAACCGGAACAGTATCTGTTGGTACAGACTTTAGTCCGGGGTTCCAGTTAGGACGTTTGCCTCTTATCCATTTGAAATTATCATGCTCAAAGCTGGTAACGTCGACGAAACCGCTGTACATCACCTCTTTCTTCAATAGGAGCTCCTAGACACCGTGTGACATAGACAGTCGAAACTTACGTTTGTGTGAGTTAACGGAAGTAGTACGTTCAACGTGCCATTAGCCTTTAAACTGTCATGTAATTTCTCCAAAATATGCGACACATCCTCGCCGGTGTTGCAAAACAAAGAACTTGGAACTAGGAAGACATTCTCATACGTCGAATCTTTTATAGACTTCGTCGATATATCCGATAGATTTATATAATCGTAGTTCTGGTTCAAGTAATCCGAGCTTGTGACCAACGGGTGTAGGACACGGTCCAGCTTGAGCAGCGATGAAGTGGTCGACGAGTGTTTACTCAGCAGCAAACCAAAACGCGCATATTTTTCCAGGTTATCCCGATCGGATGCGACAATTAATGTGCTTGGCGGCATCGTGACTGAAATTAGTCACCTTAATACGAAATTGTATGACTCAAGTTTTAGTAATCACATAAAGTGAAAGATGTGTCCGCCTAACAGTATACTAACGGTGCACATCAAACACATAACTTTAGTTGGACAATAAATGACACTCCGACATTATTTACTGCAGCGCAGATGATAGACGGCCCAACCTACATTACCGAGGCACGCAAACTGTGCTGCCACACTCGTGGCACAGGGGCAGCTATTATGAAAATAAATCGCCATTATTCATGTTAAATTTACCGTCACTGTGTATGGTATACTTGGTATGTGCTACTGCGAAATATGCCGCCAAGGGAATCTCAACAACAGCATCGGGGCTCTGTCATAAGGCAATAAAGGCGTCAAAAGGCAAAGTCATAGCTAGGTGTAACCTCAACAATTATATCGAAAAGACGTTTATACACTCAAAAGAGACGGGCAATACAAAGAGGCATTATTTCAAACGGTCGCTCAGCACAGTGCAGACGCAGCAACCAGCAACTGATAAGATGGAGGCTACACAACTTGCAGATTTGCTAAAGAAAAACAAAACAGCTTGCGAAAATCTGCTGAAAAGAAGGTTCTTCTACACTAATTCCTTCGAAATATACGGTGGAACAGCAGGGCTGTTCGATTATGGGCCACCTGGATGTGCGCTCAAGGCGCAACTGGAAAACCTTTGGAGACAACATTATGTAATATTCGATGAAATGATGGAGGTTTCGTGTCCTTGCATTACGCCCTACAATGTGCTTAAAGCATCGGGACATGTAGACAGGTTCACAGATTTGATGGTAACAGATGTAGTTAATGGCGAATGTTACAGGGCTGATAAGTATCTTGAGGATGTTATTGAGTGTGCAATCAGCACTTTGAAGGGTAAAAATATCACCGATAACGTAAATGCGAAGAACACGACACTGTTGAATCTAGGGTGTGATGAACTAGAAAAAATTAAGAATTTGGTTAGTAACATGACACTAGAAGATGTCGAAAGTTTCATTGAACAAAATAAAATCACTTCCCCGCTTGGAAATGAACTTTCGAAGCCCTATCCGTTCAACCTTATGTTCGAAACTACAATCGGACCAAAGAGCAAACAAAAGGGAGGACAGAACTCGGTTGTCTATTTAAGGCCCGAAACAGCACAAGGAATTTTCGTTAACTTCGCTAGATTGTTGGAAGCAAACGGTGGTAGAATACCTTTTGCGGCTGCACAAATCGGTCTAGGATTCAGAAACGAAATCAGTCCGAGAAACGGTTTACTCAGGGTACGGGAATTTCTGATGGCCGAAGTAGAGTACTTCGTGCATCCAAAGAACAAGACACATGTCAGGTATAATGAATTCAAAAGTGTCGTTCTAAACCTGTTGCCAAAGGAGACACAGGAAAGCGGTGAGGCGACCTTGTTAAGAATTAGCGTAGAAGACGCGGTTAATAAAGGTGTTATAGCAAATGAGGCGTTGGGGTACTTCCTTGCAAGGACGTCACTGTTCCTTGAAAAGTGTGGAATTATGCCTCAGGGTCTAAGGTTCAGGCAACACATGTCTGACGAAATGGCACACTATGCTTGCGATTGTTGGGACGCCGAGATACTCACATCGTACGGGTGGATAGAAGTGGTAGGCCACGCCGACAGAATGGCGTATGATCTTAGGGCGCACTCTCAGGCAACAAATACCCAACTGAATGCTAGTCAGAGGTATCAGGAGCCGATAACGGTAGAAAAGGTTGTGCCAACGTACAACAGGTCACTCATAGGTAAGACGTTCAAGGACAAACATGCCAGGCTACTTAAAATACTGGACAATTTGACACAGCAAGAAGCGTGCAAAATGGAAGAGGAACTCAGTACAGCAGCTATGACTACCGTTACTTCTGACGAAGGGCAGGAGTTTGTGGTTACCAGAGAAATGCTGTCATTTAAGACCGTTAAATCAGTGGTATGTGAAGAAACATTCACTCCTGCCGTCATTGAACCATCATTCGGTATGGGAAGACTTATATTCTGTATACTGGAGCACTCTTACAAAGTTAGGCCACCGCAAAATCAACAAGAAGAACGGTCTTACGTGGCGCTGAAGCCGCAATTAGCCCCAACAAAGTGTTGCGTACTACCTTTGTCGTCAAAAGATGTCTTCAACCCTCTCATCGCGAAGGTTCAGAAACATATGGATACTCTGGGACTTTCGTACAAAATCGATAGCACCGGGGCGTCCATCGGTAAACGATATGCAAGAACTGATGAAATCGGCATTCCATTTGCAATAACAATAGACTTTCAATCCCTCAATGACGGAACTGTCACCGTTAGGGAAAGGGATTCGATGCAACAAGTTAGGATGGAGTCCGATATGGCCTGCGATGTCATTTCAGACCTTATTAGAGGCAAGTCTACATGGGAAGACGTTACCAAAGCGCATCCAATCTTTACGCAACAAGAGATATAAGTGACTTAGTCAAAATGTTTGCTGTTTTTCAAACCAGCTATTAATCTTAGTTCATCTTCAGATATATCCTCACCTGTTGCACTTTTAAGCTATAGAAACGGACGTACCTAGTTCAGCCTTATGTATACTTTCTCCTTGGCGGGCAAGTATGTCCTCGATATTCTCTTTCGAATCTCCGAACCAGCCCAATTGATCCGATATTAAGTGCACTGCATAATAATGTGAATCCATGGAACCAGCTTACGGTTTTTACAGCCAGCACATTGAACATACACGACGCCGTGATTGTATGCCCTCTGCGCAAGATGGCGTCTAATCAATTAGAATTACCTTCGAAAACGACTTTGCACTTCTTAGATTGCAAACCTTACATGTGAAAACGGCGATGTACCTGTCGGAATCACCCTTGGGTATTGGCAACTGAGTTTTGTCTTGATGTAAAACCGGCTTGTCCCCTCCGGAAGAAAAATGTAAGCGTGATTGCCGGAGGAAGTGCGATGATTTCAACGACCTATGAAACGAAGAGCGACAGGCGTGTAACAATGCTTGACGAAAGATATACGTCATTATAAACGAATAACTTTTCTCAATCCAAATGAGAGAAGAACAACGCAATGACAACTGTAGGTAGGCAGAGTACATCAAACATGAACACATTTATAAATTTCGTTCTGCAATAATAGACATAATAGCTAAAATACGAATGGCGCGCCTTAACGTGTCGACTTTGTGCATATAACGATGATCGTACGATCCTCCGATTCGCGCCTTAGAGAACGAAAGAGAGAAAGATACAAAACGTGGGGAAACATGTACAAAAAATGTGTACGAAGCGATGAGATTACATACGGAGGTGTGTTGTCCGTATGATGCTGAACGTAACTTCAAAACTATGGAGCTGTCCACACATTTTGAATGCTCCCGCAGATTATTACGGGAACTTAACTCCACGAGTATCTTTGGACGATTTTATTTCTAAACCCTATTCAAAAAATTGTTGATAAATACATACTCATTACATCCTGACTCGCATTGTCGAAACGTCGCACACTCCCAACCACAGAATTCTGCCGATACCTCAGCATCTGTCATTCAACTATCGTTGCAATCATGCCATGTGCTTATAATTAGATTGCAAAGTGGTCTGTCTAGAGTGGCTCTACGAAATGCTGCGATAGGTTGGAATAGTAACTGCAGAGGTTTTATTCTAGAGTCAAAATGGCGTCTCTCGAGTCGACAACAAGCGCCGGAAATCTTTTCGATAACGATGATGACAACTTATATCATGATTCCGAGGTATGGTGTACCCTTATGTATTTATACAGCGTGTAGGATGAGGGTGGTGCCACCGCTCCCGGCGTATCAGGGAATTTTACAAAGCAGAACGTTGCTGAAATGGATAAGCAACGGAACAATGGGAAACCGCAGATCGAAGACTTAGAAATTTGGTTAATGACGAATCTGAAGAACATCATACCAGAGGATATGCACTCCATGTACATAAACAAAAACAATATTCTCTTCTCATTCGAAAAAGACCCTTTATCCAGTAGTGAGGCGAATATGGATGTCGAATGGATCAGCAGCATCACTAATGGCGGTAAAAGGTCAATACTAAGTGGTTTCGACATTTCAACACCCTATACAAAAATCGCAAATAATCGCATGGAAGCGGCGAGGAAACGGGTAGCCCTTGACTACAAGACCGACCCATCGTTTTTGTATGTTTTGTAGTATATTGAATTTACATGTTAATGCAGAAGGGTCATTGATCAAAGAACGGGGAAGTATATTCTCTCAAATCTAGTACGAACGGCAGCGGAACAACGAGCTGGATTGATGAACTATGTAGAATATGTCCGTCGAAACATACACTTAGTGCCATTACTCGAAGAACTGAATCGCTACGCATACACGCAAAAGGTTGCATACAAATCCGCCAGGATGCAGTTATGGTTTCTCCTGAAGTTGGCCGAAGAACTGAAACTTGTGCAGAAAACTAAATCATTCACATTCAAAATATCTATCGGCAAGAATGTGGGAAACGGGCAGAATCCATTCGTTTTAGACAAACATGTCACCGCGAAATGGTTGCAAAATAAAGGTGAACGCCCTGTGATTAAAGCAGATACAGCGCCATATGTGGCACAAAACGAACTAATGGACTCGAGCAGTGCTCAAGATTCCTTCTTCAATGATAGAATTATGGGAGAAAATTCCGTTTTGGACACGTCTGTTGGGGATAGCAGTCAACCCTTTGCTGACCTCAGGATGTTGAACATGATGCAAGACTCTACATTGTCCCACAGTCAGATGCTAGGTTCAATGGAACTTATGGATACAAGTGTGCCAATGGCTGATTATAGTGCTGAAACCTCGATGCCTGATGCTCTTTTCATGGACGGAGTAGGAAACACTGGACAAGCTAAATCATTCAAAGGTTCGATTCTCGGAAACAGTTGGCAAATGCTCGAACAACTCAGGCAAAGGAAAACGAAACCGGCTAAAGCAAAAGACGATGACATTGTACAAAAGGTTTTGAAAAAAATTGACAGCAAAAGAACAAGCCATGAGGTGAAAAACGCCACTAATACGGTTACAGTCCTTGAAGCTGCTTGCAAATTATATGGAACTGGGCCGAAGTGGTCCAATCCGGATAAAAATGAATTCGACGCGGGGAACAGGAGGAATACCTTAGTATATGTTAGACCACCCAAAGGGTTGAGCCAAAGCAGCGTAGCGTACGAGTACCTGATGCAGTATAAATCAGTCCATCAAAAGTTGAATGGCGGTATCAGGCAACAACACGCCGTATCATATGGCATTATAACTGTGGAACGGCCCGCTGCCGGAGAACCGCTAACGTCATATAGTGTCAACACGCAACCATGGTACAATCCAGAGTATTCGAGCAAATGGCGGCGCCTAGGGTCATACTTTAGTAAGTCTCCGCCCTGGTTGATCGCTACGTATCAAAACAAAGCAAGCGTCAATGCAAATAATGCTAATGAACATGCCAATAAATCACAAAGAGACGACGGTCATCCTGAAGAGTCTCTGATAGACGCGTCAAATCTCACAGAAGCCACTAATTGGAAAGAATCTAAAGGGGAGACTCCGCATGATGTAGTTGAAGAAAATAATATGTTTGCACAAGAAAATGCAATAGAGGGGCAGGAAATGACGGTAAAACAAAAAATAGATGAAATTCAGGATTTGGGGGATTTTTTGGTAGAGCCTGCGGTGAATGTCGATTCAGGGTGCGAAGACGATCGAGGCTTGGACGAGGATACGGGAGAGGTTGTACGCGGTGATAGCCCTGTTGACGGAGACTCTTCTGCACGATACGCGGACGACATTAAAGGAGCTAACTTAATTGAGCCCTCTGATGGTCTGGAAGCAGCGGTGATCAACCATCATCTAGGTGCCGTGAATGGATCGCCAATGACTACAGTAACTGATTCGCATACTCATACAACGGGAAAATATGATGCAGATGAAATATCGCAAGAACCTGTACAACTGGTTGGTAGCAACACCAAGCAAATTAAGCTGACCGCGCTTTTCCGATATGTTTACACCAAAATGAAAAAGGTTAAATCGTTGCCTGAGTATTCAGATGAAATGTTGGGGGTAAAAAAGAAGCAGGGTACAAGTCACACGCCAGAGCAAGACTACACGTTGGCGATTCATGGCCCTGGTAAACGAAGGCGCATTCTGGACGATAGCACGGCGGAAACAATGATGCTCAACTATGCGCCCATCAACGCAGACATCCCTCCCTCGGAAGCGGCTTCAGTTCACGAAGATGGCGTTGACGAAGAGAAAGAGGAAGATGCGGGTTTGGATGAAGGCAAGAACCTCGATAAGAGGAAAATGCAGAGAAAGGAAAAAATTCGCAGGATGAGAGATTTTGTGAAACAGATGTTCGAGGTGGAGGCCGAAGAAAGTGAGGACGAAAACCTCTCCGATCCAGAAGACATACGAAAGAAACTTCAGTTGCTTAAACAGCGACTGCAAAATTCTTCGGACGAGAGTGAAAGCGATTCCGACGATAAATATGATCTGGATGAGGAAATGAAAAATTTCATTACGGAGGTCGACTACTTCAACGCTGAGGATGAAGAACTCGCAAAGCAAAGGTTCTATGCTGACATAAAACAACAGGAGGATAAAGAACTTGCGAGACTTATGCCACTAAAGGAAAGAAGTGAAAGAGAATTGACCAGAAGAGAAGAGAGACTCAAACTTCTGATGAAACTAAAAAAGGCAAAGAGCCTACGAGATATACAAGATCTGCATCCTAGTGACTTTGAGTCTTCTGATGAAGAAGACGAAGGGAAAACAACGAAGTCCAAAAATAGGAGGCGCATAAGCAAGGAGGAATTGGAACAATTATTAAAGTTCAAGACGGGGCTTCAACAACCTGATAAAAACATATCGGAAACAGACGAATTGCAAGTATTTATCGACGCCAAACTTAAGGCGTCCAAGAAACACAGCGGTGAGTTTACTATTGAAATTAATTAATGGCCATGCAGATGACACACCAGTTGTAAGGAATCAGGTGGAAAGAGTCACCAATAATAGGCGAGAGACCATGGATAGTATGCTTGCTTCAGGTATCAATACGAATATATTTGGTGGCGATAGAGAGAAACTCATCGGAAATACTAAATTCTACGGATTACAGACTAGGCAAAAGCTCAATTCAACAGAGAACTTATCTGGTCAAACACAAAAGAAACAATCGGCGATTGTAATGAAATCGTTTAGATTGGATCAGGCCATAATGAAACCTCTCAACAGCACCAACATCAGGTAGGACGTTCTTTATACAATCATCACACATTCAGAAATGTCGGTGGATTTAAAGGATTCCACAATCTGGAAAACGCCCTGAAGGAAAATCAAGCACGAAACTCTTCTTATGCAAGCAACAAAGGAGATCCGCCCAGTAAGCCCTGAGTTCTTGGGTGGTGGGCCGCCTTACACACCGCCTACCCGGGCTTCATCTCGGCCGTAGTAAAACAACACGTGAATATTTGATTTGGGTGAAAATCGTTGTGAAAAATGGAGGAAGAAGACCATCTTAGTATCACTAATAACGATGCTTCGTACAAACACACGATAATAATAGCTATAGTATGCAGGCGGCAGAAGTCTGCAGTAAAAGAATTGGGCATCGCGATATGTAACGTCCTCGATTCATCCTTCCACGTTGTAGAATTCTCTGACAATGAGTTCTTCACGGTTCTTGAATCGATTATCCTTCAAGTAGGCTCTAATTAAAGAGGAGCATAACGAGTGTGCAGGTGGCACCAACGGTGTGTACCCTGTCTACCACAAAGGACGCCGTGGAGATTAAGAGGCTCAAGCATATACTATCCCTTTGCAATGTAAATTGTTTGAACCACACGATCGCAAGTGCCAATGACGCCATCACCGTTGTGGAAGGTATGTAGGCAATGTGTTAATTCTGAATTTGACATGTGAGCAGAAATGAAAATCAAAGGGAACCTAGAGTATCTGTTATCGAAAGAAGAACATCTCAGAAACCACACGAAACTACTTGCTCTACAGTTAGCCATGAGAGCGCTCCTGAACTTATTCGATACATTTGACCTTGCGAATAAGGCAGCTTTGAAGCAGAAGTTCCACTTGAATCACTACAAGGTCGACAAATATCTATCAATGGACCGAGCTGCGTTTGCATCGCTCTCAATATTGCCCAATACTTCGAACTGTGCAGGTAGGTTCGTGGAAATGTCAAAATGAATTTACAGGCGAGACCAACTTTACCTCTTTATTCGGCATATTGAACAGGTGTAGAACTAGCATTGGTGCTAGGAGGTTGAGAATGTGGGTCTCACAACCCCTTACAGATGTGCAGGAAATTACCAAGAGACATGACTGTGTGGAGGCATTTAAAGCTAGTATGTATAAAACGATGCAAGCGGAGTGCTTGAGGAAGGTCCCTGATCTCGACGCTATTGTTATGAAGTTAAGAGCAGTAGAAAGCCTGGGACGATGGGGGTCTAAACCGAAGACATCCATAACATTTGAAGATCTTGTACACCTGTATGAATGCATCATTTCTGTCAACAGGATGGTGCAATTTTTGCTTATTCCTTATGATGGAAAACACGCAACTGCAATCAAAAATATGTTTACAGAACCATTGTTGAATATTTCATCGCAATTTGAAACGTACTTGCGGCTCGTAGAGAAGACGGTGGATTTAAAAGAGGCCGAAAAAAGGAACTATGTCATTAACAGGAATTTCGACAAAACTTTGGTTGTAATGGGAAATAAACTCGATGAAATCAGGGATAATATGGAGTCCCTAAGGATCTCACTTGATGATGATATCTTCTATAGGTCTAGGAAAAACAAAAAGGGCAATAATATCAAGATTGTCGAATGCAGCAATATGGGATTCTTATTCAGAGTTTCGAAGAAGGACCAAGCATTGGTTCAGCAAGCTGAGGGGTTGGGTTCATCTGTGGAAAAGGTTAGGTTGAATAAAAATGAATTCCTTTTCACCACGCCACAACTACGTCAGCTGTGCACAAAATTCAACAACGCACAAAGCGACTACGATAATGCGCAATCTACAATGGTGAATAAAGCGTTTAAAGTAGCTGCTACATATTGGACTTTGATAGAACGCTTCGCTAACGTTATTGCCAGCTTGGATATCTTAGCAGGGTTCGCAGAGGTGGCTGCAACGCTGAACTACGTTAGGGCTGAAATAGACGCTGAAAATGCGGAAATAAATTTGGTTGGAGCGAGACATCCACTAGTTGAGTGTAGTCTGACGACACGCGTTTTCGTTCCGAACGACCTTTTGATGAAAAGGGAGTCGTCTTTGGTTCACATCACTACGGGACCCAATATGGGTGGTAAATCAACCTACATAAGACAGGTATGCGTTAAGTATACAATCAATGGTCATAAGAATAATTCAGGTTGGAGTGATAGCTGTCATGAATCAAATTGGTTCATTTGTGCCTTGTACGCGGGCAAGGCTGCCCGTTTTTCATCATGTCCTCTGCAGGGTTGGGGCATCAGATATCCAACTGCGGTATGATTATATTAGCTGGTTTTCTAAAAGGTTTGCAGAGGTGTATCAACATTTCTGGCTGAAATGGTCGAGGCGGCAGCAATCCTTAAAACGGCAAACGACCGCTCACTAGTTATCATCGACGAGCTGGGCAGAGGAACGTCCACGCATGATGTAAGTTATTTAAAGGTTACCTAACTCGAATATACCCCAGGGTTTTGGTCTTGCATGGGCAATAATAGTTGACCTTATCAAAAATGCCAAGTGCTTCTGCCTGTGTGCCACACATTTCCATGAAATGGGTGAATTGGCAAAAGGTGAGGGGACACTGGTAATTGCCTCAAATAGATGCAGAATATCCGTCTGTGGAAAACAAATATGTCAACGCCAAGTACTTCGAAGAGACTAAGAAAATGGTCTTTCTTTATGAAATCAAGAATGGCATATGCAGAGATTCATACGCTGTCAACGTCGCAGAAATCGCATTGTTCCCTCCAGACGTATGTTAAGATGCGATTTGGTCTGATGAATGATATGCAGGTTATAGTAAATGCTCAAAGGAAGCTAGAAGAACTTGAAGATGTTGACAAAGGTGTCGATGCAGATAGGCTTAGGCAGCTCATTAACTCACTAACTTTTGACGAATTCAGGAATAATTTGCCTGAACTCCTCAATGACATTCTAATCCCCACCTAACTGATTTAATTGCTACTAGCCGTTCACTACAAGGTCTCTGTTAACTGACATTCTATCACATTGGAAACAACCATCTACTCACTGGGTGCTATCAGTCCATTTTCACGGAATGTCGGTTGGTGATGTATTACATTTTAAACCATAGCACATAATATGACTATCGGTGATGTAGTATAACACTATATTTTAATATTTAAAATAATCACATCCCATAGTTGATAATCTTCGTGTGACATATAATAGTCTTATATCGTGGTAGATATTGTTTATAGCCCGAAAATGGTTTGCAATTTTTGAAATTGAAGAAGCTGAAGAGACCGAGGTAAGAGGGTACCATTAAAAATCACTTTCATTGTATACTACAAAAATCAACACTACACTAGTCATCAGCTATTGAAGTCTCAAGCTGTTCTATTATCTTTTATTGTTAATATATGGACATAAGTATGTTGGTGGAGATGTCTGTGAAGTGTTCTACCAACCTCACCAAGAAAAATTTTAATAGAACAGTTGTACACTATATTATTGTAGAATTTGATTGTTTATCATCTTAGTGATACTATATTTGATTTTTGTTATTTGACAACCCGGATAAATACTCCCCCCGAGATGGGTGGTAATGGTACCAAAATTGTGGTGTAGATTAAATAATCGATACTTTGAAGGATGTTAGCATCACTAAGAGTTGTGTTGGTTAGATGTAGCAATGGTGTTCTATAGCAAGGAATGATTAGAGAGTGGAGTTCATGGATACCTGGTGTAGTTCCGACCATGTGTCATTGCACAGTTACACTTGACAACATAACTGACATATGATGACCTCAACTGGTGGGTTTGGAATAGACTAGATCATAGCACTTATGAGAGATGAATATGTGC